TGGACATCCACATGCAAAACAATGAATCTAGACACAGCCCTTACACCCCTCACAAACATTAACTCAAATGGATCACAGATAAAAATGTAAAATGCAAAACTATAAAATTCCTGGGAGATAACATAAGAAAAAACCTAGATGACTTTGAGAATGGCAATGATTTTTTTGATACAACACCAAAGGCATGATCCGTGAAAGAAGTGATTGATAAGCTGGACTTCATTAAAATGAAAAACTTCTGCTCTGCAAAAGACACCGTCAAGATAATGAGAAGACTAACCACAGACTGGGACAAAATAAAGGACTGTTATTTAAAATATACAAAGAACTCTTGAAACTCAATAATAAGAAAATGAATAACCCAGTCAAAAAATGAGCAAAAGACCTGAATAGACAGTTTACTAAAGAAGATATGCAATTGAAAAATAAGCATATGAAAAGATGTTCCACACAACACGTCATTAGGGAAATGCAAATTCAAACAATGAGATACCACAACACATCTATTAGAAAGACCACAATCCAGAACAACACCAAATGCTGGTAAGGATGTAGAGCAACAGGAACTCTGATTCATTGCTGGTGAGAACGCAAAATGGTACAGTCACTTTGAAAGACACTTGGCAGTTTCTTACGAAACATACTTTTACCATATGATCCATCAACAGCGCTCCTTGGTATTTACCCAAATGAGTTTAAAACTTGTCTCCACCCAAAAATCCAAACAAAGATGCTTATAGCAGCTCTATTCATAATTGCTAAAACTTGGAAGCAACCAAGATGTCTTTCATTTGGTAAATAGATAAATAAACTGTGGTACATCTAGATAATGGAATATTATTCATCGCTACAAAGAAATGAACTATCAAGCCATGAGAAGACATGCAGGAAACCTAAATGTAGATGACCAAGAGAAAGAAGCCAATCTGAAAAGTCTACATCCTGTGTGATTCCAACTATTTCACATCCTGGAAAAGGCAAAATTATGGAGACAGCTAAAAGATCCGTGGTTGCCAGGGGTTAACACAGAAAGAGGGATGAATAGACAGAGCATGAAGGGTTTTAGGGCAGTGGAACTATTCTGTATGATACTATAATGGTGTATACATGTCATTATACATTTGTCCAAATTCATAAAATGTACACCACCAAGAGTGAACCCCAAGGTAAACCATGGACTTGGGATGATAATGATGTGTCAGTGTAGGCTCATTGATTGTAATAAATGTACCACTCTGATGCTGGAGGGTGACAGTGGGGGAGGCTGCACATGTGTGGGGGTAGGAGGTAAATGGGAGCTCCCTGCACTTTCTGCTTAATTTTGCTGTGAACTTAATATTGCTCCAAAAAATAAAATCTATTTAAAAGGGGAAAAAAAAGGTGTGAATTTTGAAAATATCATTCCACTGAAGACTCTGGATTCCACTGTTGCTGTTGAGAAGTTAGCTGTCAGTATAACTGGGTTTCCTATACAGATAATTAGTACTTTCTTTCTACATTCTTTTAAGATCTCTAACTTTGATGTTCTGCAGTTTGACTACGATATATCTAGCTATGAATTTATTTTTTGTTTAGCCTTCTTGGAATTTGTTATGCTTCCCAAATCTGTAGATCTCTGTTTTACATCAATTCTGGAAAATGCTCATCATTATCTTTAAATATTGTTTCTTTCTCATTCTCACTAATCATTCCATCTGGAATTCCAATTAGACTATATGATAAATCATTCTCATTCTGTTTCTTCAAGTCTCTTGACATCTCTTCTATACTTTCCATCTCTTTATTTGAGACTAGCTTTCTAGATCGTTTTTTCAGATCTATCTTCTAATTCTCTCTTCAAATTCTCTGTTCAACTGTTTAACATGTCCATGAAGTTGTTGACCCTAAACAAAAAGGCAGACAGTTATTTCTCCAGTAAAAATAGGTTTATTCAAGATCAGCAAAGAATTGCAGTTTGGGGTCTGCAACCACGGCAAGCCATATACAAGGACTCTGCAGCAAGGGAAGAAGAAACTCTTTTATAGAGGGGAAGAGGAAGTTGCGAGGGCCAGCATAAGCAAAGAGTCCATTGGAGGAGACCTGGGGTTTGAAGAGTAGTGGTTTTTCATTGGCTGAATTGTGACAGTCTCTCATTGGCTGAGCTGTTCCGGGCAAGAAGAGGAAGCCTTTTCTTTTTCCTGTTGGGCTCTGCAATGGTCTAGGTCTGCAGAGCTCTCCCTCTGGCCTCTCAACTCTATTTTAAGTGAGGTTTCTGTTTACTAATTTTCAGAGAGCTTTGTGTGTGGTTATGTATAAATTTTATTGAAATGTTATCCATTGGTTCTTAAATTTCATTGATTACATTATTAATTTTTAGGAGAATTTTTGGGGGAGTTCTTTTTAAAATTCTGACAGGTCACAAATTTTCAGAGGAGGCTTTTTCCCCTCACCTGGAGACAAGGCCAAGGAAGATGTATTTTCTTGCTATCTCCCTTTGCCAGCAGGCGTATTTTTTTCTAGCCCACTCTTTCATGGAGTTGTAGGCCTTTTGAGGGGCCTGACTTCTGTCAGGGGGTCTCTGTCCAAACTCCCTACTTCACATACACCGAAGACTTTATCTGCTAGTCCCAGTTTGCCCATTAAAACCTCAGCCTCTAGGTCCTGGTTTCATTAAACACCCCCAGGATTTCCAGGACTCCAAGGCTAGCTTACTAGTCTGATTTCAATTCCCTCTATTTTTTGGCTCCTGGGATTTCCTTTACTTTCCTTTAAGCTCAGTTATGCATTTTCTGTTTTCATTCTTACCATCTTGTAGTGGAGGTGTTTTTCATAATCTTAACTTGCCTGTATTGTCAGAATTAGGTGTCCTTTCCAATGAGGATTGTCAGACAAAACACAGGCTGCTCAGTTAAATTTGGATTTCAGATAAGCATATTGATTTTTTTTTTTTAGTCTAAGGATGTCCTAGGATATATTATTCATTGTTTATATGAAATTCAGATTTTATTGGATATCCTTTGTTTCTGTCTGCAAAATCTGGTAACCTTACCTCCAACCCATCTCCTGACATTGTCCCCCTCATTCACTGTGCTCCAGCCACACAGGCCTTTCTGTCTCTCAAGAGCACCAAGCTCATTCCCAGTCTCAGAGCCTTTATGCTGGCTTTTCCCTTAGCTGGAACATTCTTATTCCAGGTCTTCACACAGCTGGTTCCATATCATTTAGATCTCAGCTCAGATGCCACCCTATCATGACTTCACTTCCTCTGTCAGTCTCCATCATCACTCCTTATGAAACTCACACTTTCTGAAATTATATTGTCACTTCTATTTTTGTCCTTTCTCATCTTAGAATAAAAGCTTCTTCAGGGCAAGGGCCTTGTTAGTTGCTGTATCCCTAGCACCTGACACAGTGCCTGGCATTTAGTAGGCACTGAATAAACATTTGTTGAGTGAATGATTGGCACCCTGAACCCAACTCTGCAAGATTTAAAGTTATGAAGACCTGTTGAGGGTAGACCAGCTGGCCTTAACCAAAAACAACCACACCATAATTTCAAGAAAAGTCAACATATATCCTTAAAAAATTACCTTGAATAAAGGGCTAGTCTCTGCTAAGAGTGGCTGACGCTGGAAGCTGCTCCAGACCCAGCCTCCCTCACAGAGCATGTGCGAGGTGAGGGAGCAGGAGTACCTGGCTTAGCTTGGCACTGAGTCATTTTCAGCTGTTGACTGAGGATCTCTGGAGAACCAGTGTTTTTACTGAAATTCTTGTGGCAGTGAGAAACAATGGGGCTGTTAACTCCTTGGACTGACTTCTCTTCCTGCTGGTGTGTAAAAATCAGGCAGAGCCCCACATCCCACTTGGATCCCCACAAATCCTGGGGTTTAGAGGCAATTCAGGACAAAGGGGAAACCTCAGAGAAGGAGCTAATTTTAATAAAAACTAGTAAAATTTTTAAAAAGCCAGACAGGTATTTCCACCTCCAGTTTCACAATCTTGATGGCTATTGACGGCATGCTGGGGATCTGGAAGTTTGTGATGAGGGGGATAAATTATAAGCGATTAGGTATTGGTGAGGCATAAATGGAGAGAAGATGCTGAAATAGTCGGAGAGAGAAGGAGGAGCAGACTAGATTTGGGTGGGGTTTGTAGACCTATCAAGAACCTTGGGCTTTATCAGGAAAGAACATGGGAGCCACAAAAGATTCTCAGCAAGGGTGTGACGCCAGTCTGTGGATGTATTTGTACTTGGAGAGATCTGTCCTGCTCCTGTGTGTGGGAGGGAACAACACTGCAACTACGACTAGTGAGGAACCCTTAATGGTCTCTAGAAGAAAGATGACTAAAGTCTGAATAATAATAATGATAACAATGATACTAAAAAGAATGATTAAAATTTAATGGTAGTAGACATAAATTAAACCAGGCACTTACTAAGCCCATTGCATACTTAATCTTGTTTACCCCCCAGCAACCCAACCTAGTGGGCACTAGTGTTAGTATCTCCATTTTACAGGTAAGGTAAGCAACGTTGAGAGGATAAATAACTTGCCCAAGATCACTCAGTACCCAGATCTGTCACTCTCTTCACTGCCTTGGACTAAGCCATTGGAAGTGGCGAGGAAAAGGGGAAAGCAGGTGTGAAAAATATTTAGGAGGCAAATAATAATTATAATTAATATTATATATCATTAGATGATGATGATGATGATGATGGACGTAAAGTTGATTTCATTCATCCGTCACATATTTGAGACCTTAATCCCAGCTTCGGCGACCGGGAAAAGACAAAACCGATTAAGGTGTCGGTGAGAAGTTAATGGTCTAACAAGATATAAAACTTCCGCACTTGCAAGTGAAGACGCTGTTCCAACCCATCGTCCCCAGTTCACTGCAAACACTAGACTCGCTTGGGCTCTCGGGGCGGCGCCGCCTGGGACCTCAGGCCCCGCCCCGCCCCGCCCCGCCGGGGGCGCCTCCGCGGGCCACGTGGTCCGGCGTCCGCGCGCAGGCGGCTCCCGGCGCCGGCGCTTCCGGGTTGGCTGCGACGGCGGCGGCGGTGGCGGCGCAGGGCCAGAAGCTGGGGCGGCGCGGGAGCGCCAGCGGCGGGCCTGGCGGAGCGGGGGCCCGGGGAGGGTGCCCGGCGCGGGTGCGCCCGCCAGGCCGTCGCGTGGGCCGGCCGCGATCCGGACCCAGCCGGCAGCCCCGAGAGGTAGGTCCGCCCCGGGCCTACCGTCCGTGGGGGCGGGATCCGCGGCCGTGTCGACCCCTCTCCAGCTGTCCGCTCCCCGGTGCGGCCCGGGCCTGGAGGTGGGGGCCCCGCCCGCGCGCCCGCCGCCAGCCCGGGCCGTCCGCGCCGCCCTTCCAGAGCGAGGCCCTCTGCGCCTGACGTTGTTGAATCGCAGTTGACCCCAAATTCACTTCGCACATGGACGTTTTCTTCGCCCTTTTCATATTTGTTTTCACAGACAGAATGGGTAATAATGTGTGAATGCGAGACGCGGTAGTTCTCATTCTGATACTTATGCAGTTATGGAAAGTTAGTGCTGGGAAGGACTTTAGAAATAGTTGATCCCAATTCCTTCTTTTTACAGAAGAGTAAAACAGACCCGGAGAGGTAATGTGGATGTTGGAAATTCACCCAGTTAGGTAATGGTACAACAGAACTGAGAACCCAAAGTTAAATTTTTAAAGAGATTTTTAAGAGAGGTACATGGTAAAATTCACTTGACGATGTTAAGTGAATAGCAGCTTCCTTCAGGCTGGGATTAACATTGTTAGACGATGCTTCCACCTTTTTAGACCTTGTTTTCTATTTCAGGCTTAATCCTTCTTGGCTTCTAAAGAAAATGGCAGAAACATCATCAGAGCCTTCTGCGCAGCTCGTTGTACACTCGGACACACACAGTGACACGGTCCTGGCCAGTTTCGAGGATCAGAGGAAGAAAGGCTTTCTCTGTGACATCACGTTAATCGTGGAGAATGTGCATTTCCGGGCCCACAAGGCCTTACTCGCTGCCAGTAGTGAATACTTCTCAATGATGTTTGCCGAAGAGGGGGAGATCGGCCAGTCCATTTACATGCTGGAAGGCATGGTTGCCGACACGTTTGGCATCCTGCTGGAATTTATCTACACGGGTTGCCTCCAGGCCAGTGAGAAAAGTACAGAACAAATCCTGGCTACTGCTCAGTTCTTGAAAGTCTATGACCTGGTAAAAGCATACGCAGACTTTCAAAATAATCACAGCTCCCCAAAGCCACCGACTTTGAACACGGCTAGTGCTCCAGTAGTTGTTATTTCTAATAAGAAAAATGACCCCCCGAAGCGGAAACGGGGAAGACCAAGAAAAGTCAACAGTTTGCAGGAGGGAAAATCAGAAGTGGCTGCAGAGGAAGAAATACAGCTGAGAGTGAACAATTCGGTTCAGAATAGACAAAACTTTGTGGTTAAAGAGGGAGACAATGGCGTACTGAATGAACAGACTCCCCCAAAAGAAATGGAAGAATCTGAGCCTGCTTGTGCACCAGGTAGAGGAGAGGAAATGCCCGCTGAAAAAGATGAGAACTGTGATCCCAAGACCCAGGATGGGCAGGACGGCCAGAGTCGGTACAGCAAGCGAAGGATTCGGAAGTCTGTCAAACTTAAAGATTACAAGCTTGTTGGGGATGAAGATGACCAGGCATCTGCCAAGAGGGTCTGTGGAAGGAGAAGGCGCCCTGGTGGCCCTGAGGCCCGTTGTAAAGACTGTGGCAAAGTCTTTAAGTACAATCACTTTTTAGCAATCCACCAGAGGAGCCACACGGGTAATTTTACACTTTCGTAGTTTATTGGAATATATTTGGAATAGGAATGATAATAGCTTTTATTTATTGTGCGACTTCTGTGTGATGGGCATTGTAATAGAGCCTTTATACATGCTATTGCATTTAATTCTCACAACAATCCTGCAAGATAGGTAATATTTTTCCCGTTGTATAGATAAAGAGACCATGTCCTAGAAAGCTTAAGTGACTTACCCCTGTCATCATCCATTTAGTGACAGAGCTGGGATTTGAACCCAGGTAGCCTGATTGCAGAACATGTCTTTTTATTTGGAGTTGTTGGTTCAAGGCTTTAATGCCCAGGTATCCAGGTCTAGCCAAATTTATTCTGCTTTCAGACTCCTGAACATTCCTCATGTTGACCATAGCTTTGCTTTTGCCCAGGTCTGTGTGGACGGCTTTCTCACTCAGCCATCTACCTGTAAATGTCTTCTCCTTTTGGTCCCCCTAACCCAGCGCTGGCCAGGAGACCCTTCTGTAATGATGGAAATATTCTTTATCTGCACTGTCCAATATGGTGGCCAGTAGCCACATGTGGATTTTGAACACCTGACGTGTGATGAGTGTGACTGGGGAAGTGGATTTTTAATTTTATTGTAGTTAACTTAAATGGCCACCTTATTGGACACTGCAGCCCTCGCCAGAAATCCCTTCCTCCTTTGAGCCCTTTCTTACGCACTTAACTCACTTTGCTTTGGGTTACATGGTAGTTACCATGTAAATACCCCTCTACTTAATGGTAAGCTTAAGTATAGGGACTGGTGCTTAAGGCTTCTGTCATCTAGCAGCTTGCTGTCATCTGACTCAGCAGCATCTAGCACTGTGGTTCTCAACCTGACTGCACATTAGAACCGCCTAAGGAACTTCTGAAATGGCCCATGCCTGGGCCTGAAGCCCAGAGCTTCTGATTTCATTGTCTGGAGCCTTAAGGTTTTTAACAGCTATATTGAAAGCCCTGAATTCTGGTCCTTGGAACAAAGTGGATAGTTGAGGAATATTTGTTGAATTGTAATAAAGCATGGTTTAGAGTTAAATAGTTGTGTGAGACTAGTTAAGGAAAGCAGCATGTAGGATCTTCCCTTTTGCCCCCAGGATTCTGAAATTTGGCAATGCGTCACTTTAGTGTGGGTCTGTTCTCTTCCATTTGGGTGGATACCAGTAGAGCCATATGGTTTGAAAGCCATATCTTTCAGTTCCAGACGGTTTTCTCAGATTTTTTCATAGATGATTTCTCCCCTCTGTTTCCTCTGTGCTCTCTTTCTGGAACTCCTGCTGTTTGTCCAAGAGCCTCCTGGATCCATCCCTTAACTTCCTTAGCTTTTCTCTCTTGTTTTCCATCACTTGTTACTCTACTTTCTGGGAGATTTCCGCTTTTTATTTCAGCCCTTATAGTTTTTCTATTTCTACTCTTATTTTTTTTACTTCTAGGAGATCTTTTTTCTCTAAATTTATTTTATTTTGTTAGAATCCTTATTTTATTAGAATCGCAATGTCATAGCTCACCTCTGTGAGCATGTTCATGATAATATTTGCTTATTTGTTAGGTTTTAATATTTTCTTCACCTGGGGCAGTTTCTGTTATCTGCAGGTTGCTTTTTTTCTTGTTTGCTTTGGTATCTGTTTCAGCTACTAAAGGCCTTCCTTGAATGGTGATTTTTTTTAAAAGTCATAGTCATATGTAAGAATGGTTTACTAAAAACTACTGGCAACTCTGCGGGCGTGGAGAGGGCCTGTAGACAGCACCCTCACTGGGGCTGGTGTGGCTGGCCCCCACTTCTTTGCTGATGCCTGGCATCTAACTTCAGCTCTCTTGTCTCGGCCCTTCACATCCCAGGTGAAGACACTCCGCTCTCCCGCCAGGAGGCCACAGGCCTGGCTGCCAGTGTCTAGAGCAGGAGAGGGAAGAAGGCAAGGGCGGGTGGGCGGGAGGGGAAGGGTCTCATCATCCCAGACATAAACCTTGACCCATAGTAGTCCCACTCCACTGTGCCTGGAGCCCTCTCATTGGAGACCCCTAGGCCAGAGACCCTTGATTTTACGCTCTACAGAGAACGGTCTCCATCCTCCGTTGGGAGAGGGTCAGTGTCCTGGTGGCGTGGAGTAGGAGACTGGATCTGGTGGGCGTGGTCTCCCTTCCTTTGGAACAGACTGTCATTTATGCTCCTTACTTCCATTTTCAGAGAAAACAGTTGCCCCCAATTCCTGAGCCTTATGGAAGTTCTGTCTTAAAAATTAGGTTGCGTCTCAGCGCTCTGCTCTGCTGGCATCAGATTCGTCTATTCCAGCTTCCACAATTGTATAGCTGCTCTTGTCGCTCCTGTTCCTTGGCCTTTTGGACATGTGCCTTTTAAGAGAAATCCCTTTCTTGTCATTTTAATTTGGGAGGGAACAGAAAGATGTGGAGATTCTTGCTTACACCATGCTTCTGGGGCTTTTCTTCCAGGGGAGCGACCTTTCAAGTGTAACGAATGTGGAAAAGGCTTTGCGCAGAAGCACTCCCTGCAGGTCCACAGCCGGATGCACACAGGCGAGAGGCCGTACACCTGCACCGTGTGCGGCAAGGCCCTCACCACCAAGCACTCGCTGCTGGAGCACATGAGCCTGCACTCAGGTAGCCGGGCTTGTACCAGAGGGCCATCTGCTGCCAGGCTTCCATTCCCAGGGTGGGCATTCCCATGATCTAAATGGTATTTTCCCAGCCTGGTATCATTTCCCACATGATGTCATTGAAAGACAGAATTATGCATCTGTTGGAGTAGAGCTTAGAGTTCTGCATAGCTTGAGCCTTAAACTAGGGCTTATCAACTGGCTGCTGGAAGTTCAGTGTGCAGACATGGTTTAACCACCAAAGTTTAGAATTATTTTACTTTGGATTAGGTTTTTTGATTATTTTAGAATTATTTTATTTGGATTATTGCCTTTGTGGAAAACCTGAATTCTCCAGTTTTACCCCAGACCCCACCACTCCCTATTGCCTTATGTACTTTTGCACATTTATGTTACTGTAGTAGACTCTGAAGGCATTTGAGTTTGTAGACAATTCATTGGTTTCATTTGTAGAAAAATAGAGACCTGGGCCCACTGTGGTATTTACCTTATTGGTGAGCATTCTAGTTCTTTATAGTTTTTTGCACGTTCTAGTGTTTTGTTTTTTATTTGGCAGGACAGAAGTCTTTTACCTGTGATCAGTGTGGAAAATATTTCAGCCAGAAAAGACAACTAAAGAGCCATTACCGAGTTCATACAGGTATAATAAAGTGAGAAAATTTGGATTGGTGTGTGGGGCAGAAACAAAATGCAAATTATTTCTGCAATATTAGTTCCATATTGTAGAAGATAAATGAGTATTTAGGCAAAAGAGTCTTAAAAAGCAATCTAAATTAGATGTCCTTGTGTGAGCCTCTACTACCATGTGGTTTATATTTAATTTTTATACTACAGTTTTGGTGCCACACCCAGAAACCCTGCAGAGTTGGTATCTTTCAGAAGTGCTGCTTGACTGAAAGGGCACCACTCTATTGGTTGGTTGTTCGTGCTGCCTGGACAGAGACGTCACCACCCCATAGCTGTCAGTGCAGGCTTTCTCCCACTTGGCTCTACCCATTATCCTTTGTTCTTTCCTGCCAACTGATAAGAGATGAATTGGGGGTAGGAACATTATATTTAGGGAGATTGGAAGGGTCCCAGCTCTCTTGGGGAAGCAGTGACTTGAGATGCGTAGGAAAATACTAACTTGCCAGATTAATAAAAAAAATTGTTGTTTTATTAAAGTACCATATTTAAAGTGATTATTTTTCAGGGAAGTGCTTTAACACAGATCACTGAAGAAATGCAGGGACAGCATATATGCACTGACACTTTTTTTATTGTTGCGACAAGGCCACTCATTACCGGAATGCAACCACTGCCATCGCAAATTCATGGATGTGTCGCAGCTAAAGAAACATCTACGAACACACACAGGTAAAACTCCATCTCGCCCTTTCTTTCCAGTACACTCTTATGTTTTCAGGAGAGTGAGGAAGGAAGTACTCCAGGTCCACTGAGGTTCTGTAAAGCGAGTGGAAATTTTTTTTTTTCACGTTATTACTTTTTTTTTCCTTAAGATTATGATAGTTTACAACCGTGGGAAATTTCAGTTGTACATTATTGTTAGTCGTGTTGTGGGTTCACCACTTCACCCTTTGTGCCCTCCCCGCAACCTCCCTTTCCCCTGGTAACCACCAATCAGTTCTCTTTGTCTATATGTTTAACTTCCACCAATGAGTGGAGTCATACAGAGTTTGTCTTTCTCTGTCTGGCGAGTGGAAATTTTATAAGTAGATCATTTAAAGGCCCAAGGCAAAATGCGGTCCACAGCATTCTGTGGGGAAATCACATCTCTGTAGGTTAGTAAAACAGAGATCACTTACTGAGCACTATTCATGTGTGAAATTCATTTAAAACCACAAAAGGGTGCAGTCTGAGTCTGGTTCTCTGTTTCACTCTTAATTTACTTCAACATTGAAGATTATCAGGAAACTTTTCTAGCAAGCTTTGAAACAGACACAGAAATGAAGCAGACACAAAGGTAGCATAGGCACTGAGGGTTTTTCCACTTTCTCCCCTAAAACTAGTACTTAAAGCTTAAGCATGGCCACCTCCAGAAAAAATCAGCCTCAGGGATGAAGAGGAGGCAAGATCAGTCAAGAAAGGTCAAGTTCTTTCATTTAAGATCAGAAGAGTGAAACTATGAGCCTTTTAGACCTGTTGGTAAAGAATATTTCTTAAAAATAAGCCTGTTATATTTTCTAAGAAAAACTTTCTTTTGTAGCTTGGTTATTTAACGATCCTGTTAAATTGTCTATTCAAGTTATATATCAGATTCGTTCATGTTGCTTGGGCATTTTTTTAAAAACAAGTTTTTCTTCTTAAACTCATTTACTTTTATAATTTATAAAGTAGATGTCTCGTAGGGGATGAGTTTTATGAAAATGGATCTCGATATAGTCTTTCTACAGACATTATCATTATAGGTTCTGTGAAATTTAAATCATCCATTTAACACATATTTATGGAACAGTGACTGGGTACCGGGCACTCTTCTTGGTCCTGGGGATACAGCGGGGAATGAGATGGACAGAGCCCCTGCTCTTGAGGGGCTGACATTTGAACAGGGGAGGCGAAGAACAAATGACTGTGTGACATGTTAGGTGGAGGTCGGTGTTATGAAGAACTAAATGCAGGGTAAGGGGACAGGGTGCAGGAAGGGGAGCTGCCCTTTTCCGTGGGGACTTGTCTGGGAAGGCCTCACTGATGAGGTGACATCTTAGGTGCAGATCAGAATGCTGTGGGGAGTGAGCAAGCCATTGTGGTTATCCAGGCAAAGACCTTCCTAGGCAGAGGGCACAGCAGGTGCAGAGCCCTGGGGCAGGCGAGTTTCTGAGATGGTGGAGAAATGCCAGGAGGCAGGAGTGGCCCTGGCAGAGCCAGGGCGGTGGGACTAGGAAGCAGCTGGGTAGGTGGACACCAGAGGCAGCTGGAGTCCGTGCACTTCAGGGGCTCTCAGCCTAGCTGCATGCTTCTGTCACCTGAGCAGCTTTAGAAAAGAAAAGGCCTGGTCCCAGGCCCAGAGATTCTGATTGAACTGACCTGGGTTAGGGGCTCAGAATTGACATCTCTGACAGTTCCCCAGGGAGTGCTAGTGTTCACTGAGGCTTAAGAACTTTGGAGTCCACAGTAAAGACTGGATTTTATTCTGAGAGAGATGACTTTAATGAGAGGAGTGACGCGATGTGACTTAGAATTTAACAGGATCACCCCAGCTACCATGTGGGGTGGGGAGGGGTGGGCTGGAGGCACCCATTAGGAGGGTGAAGAGACCCATTAGGAGGCTGTGGCCATAATCAGGGGCTTGGCACAGTGTGGTGGCAGTGGAAGTGGTAACGAGTGGTCCACTTCTGGATGTGTTCTGAAGGAATGGTCAGTGTGATTTGCTCATGAGTGGATGTCGGGGCTGAGAGAAAGGGGGCGCAAATGCAGCTGTAAGGATGGAAAACTGGGAAAGGCGATGGGAGGAGCCAATCAAGAGTTAGATTTTGGACATGGCAGTCTGAGATGTCTATTTGACATCCAAGGGCAGATGTGGAGGAGGCAGCTGGATGTGTGAGTCTGGAGTTCAGAGGCAACATGCAAGCAGAGGTATAAGTTTACATGCTTACACATGGGCTCGTAAGTAGCATGTGAAGCTGTGCTGAGAATACCAGGGGAGAGCGGAGGGGTGGAGGAGAGCTGAGGTGCCTTGGTTATGGGGTTTTGTTGCTTTTTTTTTTTTCTGAGGAAGATTAGCCCTGAGCTAACTGCTGCCAATCCTCCTCTTTTCACTGAGGAATACTGGCCCTGAGCTAACATGCATGCCCAACCTCCTCTACTTTATATGTGGGATGCCTGCCACAGCATGGTGTGCCAAGTGGTGCCATGTCCGCACCCGGGATCTGAACCGGCAAACCCCAGGCTGCCGAGAAGCGGAATGTGCCAACTTAACTGCTGCGCCACTGGGCCGGCCCCGACTTGGTTATGTTGAATAGCCAGAAAGGACACATTTCATCTTGGTTTTGTCTTCTGAGTATATAAGATGTACATGAGGCTTCTGGTCTTTATGAGGAGGAGCAGGCCTTGAAGTGGGGGTGAAAAGGAACAGAAGTCCTCTCTCCAAAACCCCAGCAAACTTCTCCACCCTGTCTACTTTGAGGAGAAGCAGAAGAGGGAAGTGGAAGATATGCGATGGTAAAAAAGAAGACAAGAAGGGCTCTTGTCAGGTGGTTTGTGTGACTTAGAAATAAGAAAAATCAAAACCATCAAAATTGGGCTCTTTGAGGGCAGGGACTATGACCCACCTGTCCCTAGCACAGAGAGTATGCACCATGTTGGTGCTGAAAAGAGTTGGTGTGCCACCTCCCTGCTCCGTGGGCAGAGTGGAAGGTTTGGGAAGAGGCTGCCTGGCAGTTGGCACTCACCTCCGCGAACAGTGGTGTCAACAGAACTTAGCACAGGTCGTGCCGAGAGGGCCAGGGCAGGAAGCACCGGTTGCAAGAGCAGGGGGCCACACTCAGCTGGAAAACCGAGGCTGTCACCTCTCAGCTCTTTAATGTAGACTCTCTCCAGGTTAGGTGTCCTGTGCCAAGCACAAGAAATCAAAGATGCCTCAGAGATGTCCTCTTCCCTAAGAGGGCGTCTTCAGTGGGGGAGATGGATGCAGTTTGAAATGGAGGCAGGCAGACAGGCAGTGCCAGTGACGTTGCTGCAGCGCAGGCTGTGGTGCTCAGATCTCGTTCCTGTACCTGGTGCTGGCAGGCTGGCAGGGACTGAGCCAAGCCAGCCAATCACAGGACTGATAAGCCAGCGAATGCGTTAACTTAACAAAGGGACCTTACCTTTCTTATGCCTGTAGCACCGCCTTCCTTACATCACTGTGCCTGAAAACCAAGTTAATGATCAGAGGTTGCTTGCTGAGCTGGGGCAAGTTCAGGGAATTAGCCCAGGCTGTGGAGAAGCCTGGTGAGTGACCTCTGACCCCACAATACAGACCCAGCGCTCAGTGTGCCTGACCCTTGCGTGGTGTTAGATAAACACTGGTTCTACCCCATGGGCTCCCACTCACGTGCAGATGCCCTGCCTAGTAACACATAGTAGAGTTAATGAAGTCACAGCTTTCACTCACAGCCTCGTTTTGTTGGACTGGATTTGAAGCTTCCTAAATCTCCTCAGGCGTATGTTTCCAGACCATCCCGTAACGTTGCTCATCCCCATCTTTGTGCGATCTGGGGGCCCCTCACCATAACATACCCTTACAGAGTCCGTGTGCAATCTAGTGAGAATTTCAGGACAGTGCACTACAAGCCCCAGGAGAGGTGTGAACACAGTGGTGGAAATGATTGGCTTTCCCTGGGAAGATCTGGGAGAGCATCCCAGAGGAAAGACCCGGATCTTGAAGCCACAGTAAGTGCTGGATGGACAAAGGAAGTGGGAAGAGGCATTCCCAGATTGGAACAGGGTGTGTGGGCCTTGAGGATGTAAGAGGCCAGCATCCGACGGCCGAGTGAGGCATTCCAGGGTGAGCAGCTGGGGTGAGGTTGCCAACACGGGACAGACCATGGTGAAGGCAGGTGCGGGGGAGATCTCTGGGCAGAGAGGAGGCATGTTTTGATTTGTGTATTGAAAAGGACTCAGGCAGCCCCAGGAGGATGGTCAGAGACGGAGGGTCCTGGGGATAAGCCGGTTAGCAGGCTCTTTGGGGAAGAAAGATGAAGACCTTCAGATCAAGAGAGTGGAAGAAAGAGATGTATTTAAGAGATTTTTAGTCCAGGAAAAAACAGCTGCTGCAGACATGACAAAGTATTAACATCCCCAAAATTAAAGGGTGAGGACCCCAGTAGAAAACTGAGCAGGAGACGTGGGAATGGCCAGTAGATGTTTAAAACAATGTTAACTGCATTGATCATCACAGAAAAAGAAATGTGTGTTGCTATTTTGCCCGTTAGATTGGCAAATATGTGAGGAAATGGGCATCTTTATGTTCTGTTGGTGGGAATATAATTTGGGAACTTTCTGGAAAGAAGTGCAATATGCATCAAAATGTAAATTGCCCACTTGTGAAAAGATATTTGCATAAGGATTTTCATTGTAAGCAGGATTGTTTTAATGTCACAGGCTTAAAAAATTACTGAAGTGTCTGTTAGTCAGGGTTGAGTTATGTATATTTTGGACAAGATACACAGTGGAACACAACACACCCTTTTAAAATGGTGGTATGGCTGTATTTGACATTACAGACCAGCATGCACTGGACGATCTCATGGTGTAAAATTGTATCCTCACGTGCGTATATGCACAGAGAGGTGTCTCTAAGGATGTTCCTCATAGTGTTAACTAGCTACCTCAAGTGGGGGATTCAGAGTGGTTTTTAAATATTTTGTACTTTTCAGTATCATTTGAGTCTTTTACAATGAGCATGGGTGATGTTTAAAGAAAAACAAAGCAGTTGTTTTAGGAATTAAAATGTATAGACCTGCATTGCCAATTGAATGTGAACGCAGAGTGAACAGAGGATGTCAGGTGACCGTTGGGCCTGGCTGGGGCAGGGGCTGGATGGTGCCGCCATGAACCAGGAAGGTTATTCCGGGTTTGAGCTGATGGCAGTGGGAAATGAGCTGTGATAGCCAACAAGCGCGGAGTAGTCAGTACTCTCTGGAGCTGGGAGGGGGATTTACAAGGCATCAGGGCGAGGGCGGGCTTGGTGGCGTGTGCTGCTGAGAAGGGGGTCTGGAAGGAAACCCTTGAGTTACTTAAATATTTCTATCTTTACCCCCTGGGTGGAACCTATAGGGTCAAACTCAGGTCTCTGCCTTTCCTTTAACTGCCATTGTGTAATCCTTGTATTAGACTTCTGGCCCCGCTGCCACCCAGGCTCTGTCACCTCGCGTTTTTTTCTGCCTCTCCATCTGCCTCCTGTACCTCCCAGGTATTGACTTCAGCCCTTCGTGTGTAGACTCTTAAGGAGTTCCTGCTTGGTCCTGCTGCCTACAGCCCACCCTACCAATCATTCCCATGTTTTTTCCTAGTACTTGTATCACGTTCTTCTACTAAAAACCTCCAGAAGTTCCACAGGTCCTCTGCCTGGAATTTACGGCTCTTTGTGGCCTGGCTTCACCTTTGAGCTCCACCACTCCTCAGAGTAAATCCTCGCCCCTCTTTGTCCACACTGTGTGCTCATTTCCAACAGCTGCTTTTTGGCAGTCATATTTATCTTAGTACCTGAACCAGGCCTCCCTCCAGTCCAGCCACAGCCTGCCTCCTCCACATCCATCATCTTGTCACGCTCAATATTGTTGATCCTTCTCATTTTAATGTTTAGTCCAATACAGCCCCACATTACTTGATGACCACATGTATCTTATCTTCTCTGATAGACCTACGTTCTTTTTGAGGCAGTGAGCATATTTTTTGTTTCTTTTCTGTTTCTTAGCTCTGTACGTTGTTGACCGTCCAGCAGCGTTTTAGAACTGAATAAACTGAAGAAGGAATGGGTCACTCAGCTGAAGGCAGTCGAGCTGTGTAACTCTTACCAGAACAGATCAGAATCCAGAGGAGTAGGAAGACTTTCCCCAGATTCACCTTGGCTAGGAAAATTTTTCTTACTGTCCTGGAGGATGTTCCAGGAAAGAATTCCCATTATTTAAAACATCTGCCAACAGAAAGACTTTCTGAGATGTCGTAAACCCAGATGGAATTGAATGATGAAGTTAGCATTGTTATATATGTTTCCCACAGAGAACTTTACAGTGATGAGCAAACAGAGCAGGTCCTCAGTCTCTGGATCTGGAGAGAAAGAAGAATGACTGAGATCAGAGTAGGCCCCAGCTCCGATTTGGACAGATAATGGCAGTGGCCTGGTTTTAACCTTTGGACTGGTAAGAGTTATTGATGCAAAGATGCAGACTCTGGGTTGTCACAAGTGTCTTCTGCCTAGATGGAGCTTGGAGAAGTGTCTAGACTGAATTCTCCAGTAGATGCTCTGAAGGGGAAGCTGCCTCACCATCCTCCCCTTCAAATTGCCCTTATCCCTTGCTGTTAGCTGGTTAAGCTGGATTTTGCTTCTTTCTCTTTTTTCAATTCATAGTTCCCTTGCCTGCAGTAGGATCACTTAATTTTGTTTCTGGAAGGCATGACAGTCTGTCATGGCATGTGCAGTGTACAAACTAATGCTGAATAAATGCTTGTCGAAGCTTTATTAATTCATAGTGGTATCTGGGGCAGTCACGACGTCTTGGGTGGAGCTTAGTTTCCACTCTGTGAAATTCATTCATTCAACAGGGATTTTTGGAAGTGTGCCAGGCCTGAATCTAGGCACTGGCGTGCTAGGAGTGGACAAGTCCACAAATTATCCTATATAAGAAGGGGGGGATAGTAAATAATGTATATAGTATATGAGGTGGTGATAGCATTGTGGGAAAACTAAGTTGGGGAACTAGACTAAGAAGTGTTAGGGGTGGGACAATGTTGATGAAGCCTCAGTGGTAAAGTGACATTTGAGCAGAGACTTGGAGGCAGTGTGGAGAGAGACCCCTGGGGGAGACATGCCAGGGACGGGGGTGGTGAGCATGAGGGCCCTGAGCAGGGCTTGTCTGGGGTGTGGTCACTGCCTCTCCAGGGTGCCCGGGAGTCTGAGTGCTCGTGAGCAAGGGGAGAGTGCCTGATGAGGTTAGTGAGGTTTAGGGTGAGGGATGGGGCTGGGTGGACAGATCTGGGATTCCTTGTAGGCCCAGGGCTTTGGTTTTTATTGCGGGGTGGGGATGGGGAGCCAGTAAGAGTGTTTGCAGCGGAAGCATGAAATGGTCTGATTGCCCAAAGGATCGCTGTGGTTGCCGCATTGACTGTGGATGGCAGGGAAGCAGGAGCGGAAGTAGGGAGACCCGTTGGGAGGCTGCCGCAGAGACGGCCGTGGCCTGGACCAGCGGTATCAGGGGAGGTGGTGAGAGGTGGTCGGACTCAGGCTACTTTTGGAAGGTAGATATAAACATGGATAATACGTAAGTCACTTGGTGCACAGGGCTCCTTATGAAAGTCAAGAGGGCGCCTAACCAAGCGGTAAGGAACGAGCTTGTAAGTTACCTCAGGGTGGACGGTCCAGCAGTAAATGTGGGGTTCCTTTGTCCTCCGGATAATCGCTTACCTCCTTGTTTCAGTTTTGAAGTTTTTAAGGGAAAGAACCATCCCTTAGTCTTTCTCTGTATCTACACGGTGCTCAGGTGCATAGTAGGGCTTGGTGAGTGCTTCCTTCATTCATGCTTCCTGAGGATTCAAGTGACGTTGCCTTTCTTCTTTTTTATATTGTGAAACTGTGGGCTGAGTTTTGCTCTTTGTTTTATGTTGAAGGTATGTTTCTAAACGCTTTCCTTTTTTCAGGTGAGAAGCCATTTACTTGTGAAATCTGTGGCAAATCTTTCACAGCAAAGAGTTCTCTGCAGACGCACATCAGGATCCATCGGTAAAGTTTTGCAGATATTTCTGTCATGTGGAGTCCTCACTCGACCCTGGCGCTCAGTGGGGTGACATGTGCCTGTCTAGCTCTTTTCCCCAAGTTATTACTCTGGTAGAATTTTCTGTGTATTTTATTATTTTATCTTTTCAGTAAAGAAATTCCTCACTTAGGCAAAATCAAGAAAACTGATTCTGGCCAGCAAAAGTTTGCATTATTGACTCCATTTCTTGAATTTTGATTTTGGGCTGAGGGCTTGTCCAAAGTTTAAATCTTCAAAAATAAATATTAAGTTTAATGTTTCTGAATAAATGTTTTTATTCATACAACTCACTTCCAGATTAGATTTAGTAGTTCTTCTAACAGCATCACAGATAATTAGAGGCTACTCAATTTTTAACATTGAAATGAATCATATATACTTATTTGGCCATTAGAGTATAAAAATTAGCTGTGAGAAATAAAACCAAAAAGAACTCTATGTGTAATATATAAGTATTTACTTTCTTATCTGAAATATGGAATCATAAAAATTTATCACATCCAGCCCAACTCCATCTGCCACCCTTCCTGAAACACCACCCCCACCTTTTGTTTTTTAAAATTAGAAACTGAAGCCCATGGAAGTTGTGACTTGCTCCAGTTCCTTAAGTTACTCAGAGAACCCGAGACTTACGACTCCCTGTCTAGTTAATTTTCCTCTATTGTTGCCCGCTTCTCCCTAAGGAAGCAGGAAGTAATGGACCTTTCTGGTTTTCATATAAAATGTGTATTTCTTTATAGAGGAGAAAAGCCATACTCCTGTGGCATTTGTGGCAAATCCTTCTCTGACTCCAGTGCCAAGAGGAGACACTGCATTCTACACACGGGCAAAAAACCTTTCTCCTGCCCTGAGTGTAACTTACAGTTTGCTCGCTTAGACAACTTGAAGGCTCACTTGAAAATCCATAGCAAAGAGAAACAGGTGTCAGATGCCAGCAGTGTGTCCGGCAATAACAACACTGAAGAGGTCAGGAATATTCTTCAGCTGCAGCCATATCAACTCTCTACCTCCGGAGAGCAGGAAATTCAGCTGCTTGTAACCGATTCTGTACATAACATCAATTTCATGCCTGGTCCTAGCCAAGGAATCAGCATCGTGGCCACAGAGAGTTCCCAGAACATGACTGCAGACCAGGCTGCTAATCTCACCCTGCTCACGCAACAGCCAGAACAGCTGCAGAATTTAATTCTTTCAGCTCAGCAGGAGCAAACAGAACACATTCAGAGCCTCGATATGATTGAAAGCCAGATGGAACCCTCACAGAACGAGCCAGTGCACGTGATCACACTCTCCAAGGAAACCTTGGAACATCTTCACGCCCATCCAGAACAAACAGGAGAGCTCCATTTAACAAGCGCTTCAGATCCTGCTCAGCACTTGCAGCTGACACAGGAGCCGGCTCCGCCCCCACCCACCCACCACGTGGCCCAGCCCGCCCCGCTCAGCCAGGAGCAGAGCTGACCTGAAAAGGTGTTTGACTGCTCTGTCGGTCTCTTCTCCGTAAGCCAGCCATAACAGCCATATGTGGATTGTGTGCTTGAAGTCGGGCTGTCTGAGACGCTCTCTTACAGATCCTTACAGAGCTTTGATAGCCAGCTGACAGTTGTGCTTTGCATCCAGGCAGCGAGACTGTGCATCGTGTCTTCTGTATCTTACTGATTTGGATTTAGCATTTCAATATTGATGAACGGCTTTCGTTTTCACCTACTACAGCTCTTAAAGACTTGTGTAATTTTTCTTTGGGGACATTGGTTTAGACTTTTCTGTAAGTATTAAATGTTCACAGCCATAGGTTATGGTCTTGCTGACCTTTCCAGTTATATTTTTTATGTTTTAGAACAAAGGAAGTCATACATTGAATTGCGTAGAATGGTTGGTTTTGCTTCCTTATCTCTCTCGAAGGCAACACAGTTGCCATTACAAGACAAGTCAGGGCTGAATGTGACAAATCACAACTTTAGGGAATCTGTCCTTTTAATAACTTCCATTCCCCTAAGACAGAGTGACTGTCTCTCAACAGTTAATATTTGTGCAGTATGATGGGCTTATCGTCTCCTGTTTAAGGGAGATTCAAAGACATAGAAACTAAATGTCTATTTTAACTCAAAATTCATATAACAAGAAAGCCAAAAGTATAGGATTATTTTTAAAATTCTGAACTCAATTTTTCCGAGAAACATGGATGTACATATTTTTTAAAAGCAGGTTATTGAAAATTTAATTAAAAAGTTTAATTAAAGTATGAAATTGGATCAAGGTATTCACCCCAAATAAATTCTGAATTTTGTCAGCAATATTTAATCTTCATGATGAAATTAAAGCTTTCTCGAATATTCTGGAATATAAAATTTTATTCAGTGTAATTTTTGTTAAATATATTCTGCTGAATTCTGGAAATTGATTGATTTCTGAAAAAGTTGATCTGAGTATTGTGTCTGATAACTTTCTGGAGATGGGCACTTATAATCTATTTTTATTGCAAAGTAGGTTAAATCCCACAAAGTGGACACATCATTTTTAAAAGTAAATATCTTCTCCTAATCTTAAAAATAATTTTGAGCCTCACAGACTTAGTAGCCAGCATCTGTCTGTAATCATTGTATGATTTTGAATAATCATCAAAAGATTAAATTATGTTTGGGTTAGGTTTTCCAGCTCAGCATATTTTACTGTAAAGTTTGACCGCTTTCTCTCACGTCAACTGGTTGAGGATTTTTGAGATAAGAAGGGGAGCACCGGTCTATGTAAATTTACATGATGCTAGTGGAGAATAGGGGTAATCTACCCTAAAATTAACAGTCTTCACATCAGTTACTAGTTTTCTTGTTTTAGACATCTTTGATGTCCACCCGAATCAAGTAAGTTTTTTGGAGGTTAAAGTAATAGAAAATTCTTTAGGGTTTGAGAGAAGATGAAAGCAGTTTTCAACATATTTGCCAAACCATATTTTCTTGTGTATAATTCACAGAATTTCCAAGGTTTATCTTATATGCATCAACCAAAGTAATGTTAAATCTGGCCTGCCTAGAGCAAAGGTATCATTTTTACAAATACAGTTATGCCCTAAATAATTATTTCAGCTTCTTGACTTAGTCATTTAAACTATTTATTTTAACTGTATTCTTAAAATGCAAAGATTTTACTAGCTTTTCAAAGTCTCCTGGCCCACATTTTCTCCAGGAGATACATAGTATTAAAGTAGATGAATTTTTAACTACTCACTCTGGATAGAATTATTGAGGATATATGGTCGCGTGACTGTAAAGTCAAGTTTTAACTAGCTTTATGACAGGCTACCTCTGCGCTAAGAGAAATATAATGTGAGCCACATAATGTGATTTTAAATTTTCTAGTAGCCACATTAAAAACATAAAAAGGATGAAATTAATTTTAATAAAATAGTTTATTTAATCCGTTTGCCAAATAGTATCATTTCAACATATAGTCAATATAAAAATGTACTAATAAGATATTTTACATGCTTTTTTGTCACAGTAAGTCTTCAGAATCTGGTGTGTGTTTTACACTTCACACTGAATTTCGATGCTAATGTTCATTGGACATACTTGATCTATATTTAGAGTTCATACGGTTTATACTTGAAAACCAAGATCCACATATTCAAGTAGTTGCAGACATACTTAATTTTTTTTTAGTAACTGAAACAAGTATCAGTTTTTAAATTTATATTAAAATTGATTTACACCCAGTTCCTCAGTCACACTAGCCACGTTTGATAGCCACATGTGGCTAGTGGCTCCTGTATTGTCCAGCACAGGCCTGCCAGTTTCTCGTTTGAGAGCCAGTGTCGGTCATAAAAATATCTTCTGGAAGAGTTCTGGGTTATTTGACCAGCTGTCAAAGGGAAAGAAGAAAATGATGGCTTTATATATCTAGCCTTTCCTCTGTGTCCCAAATACACGCTCTGCCCCTTTAAATGAAATCCTGAATTTTCAAATTCAGTGACTGTACCCAAAGGAAATGTCATGTACCTAAAAATGTTTCTATTGTGTCTCTGAGAATTTGCTGGCTCGGTTCCACAACTCATGTTGTTCTAGTACAGTTTTTAAAATTGTTTTAACAAGTGCAGAAATGCAAATTGTACCTCTTAGGAAATAGTAGAATATTATGCTTTCGGGCTACTGAAATGACCTTGTCACTTTTGAAGGTGAAGCTCTGGTTTTCTCTCGGCAGAGGGCTAGCCTTGGGAAGGCACGAGCTCTTGCTATTGAGTAAGTTACTCTCGGGCTTGCCCCTGCGTTTCTTGAAACTCATCTTTCTACCTCTACTCTTGTGTATTTTCTGCACTTGGTTCTAGTGTTGTAAGTGTTGTGAGAAACCAGTTAAATGATGCTGAGGAATACGACGAGAGTCTCCTTGTAGATGCTTTCATCTAGGTTTTCCTAAGTTGGGATAATAATATCTGCCACATTTTGAGTCTTTGCAAGAGGCCTGGAGTGAAGCCAGGTGCGTTAGACCTCTCTCTTACTCTAGTGCTTCTCAAATTTCTTCCGTGTCATGGTGCACAAAAAGTAGGATTTATACAGCACCCTGCGACTGGCCTATTAGCTTGCCAGGGTGGCCATAACAAGTACTACAGACTGGGTGGCTTAAAAAACAGAAAGTTATTTTGTCACTGTTCTGGAGGCCGAGTCTGAGATCAAGGTGTTTGCAGGATTGGTTTCTTCTGAGGCCTCCTGGCCGTCTTTTTCTCCCCGGGTCTTCACATGGTCCTCCTGTGGCTGTGTGTCCCAATCTCCTTATAAGGACACCAGTCACACTGGATCAGGGCCCACTCTAAGGACCCCATTTTAACTTAGTGACCTCTTCAAAGGCCCCATCTCCAAATACAGTCACATCCTGACGTACTGGGGATCGGGACATCAACATGAATTTGGGGGAGAGGACACAATTCAGCCTATAACAACTGGCATCTGGAACGAGGAGGGCAGCAGTGTCTGGGACACACCTGTAATCCATTTGAAGCACAATCTCATTTTACTTAATCTTCGTGACGTTCCTATGAGGTAAGTAAAATTATGCCTATTTTACAGATGAGAACATCGAAGGCCAAACAGATGAAGTCCATTGCCCAAGGTCCTACAGTATGTAGAGCCAGCACTCGGACACAGGGCTGGCTGATCTCACTACACTGCTTCCACCCGATGGGTGTACTGTCACTAGTCTGTTGAAACTTTAAGCTGGATTTCTCTTTACATATGATCTGCTTAATGTAATAGAACTTTTTTGACTAAAATTGAGGATCTGTGTCTGAACTTTCAGCATATAATCAAACTTTTTACATAAAACAATAATAGTAAAAGTTGTCTTTCTCCTGCAGAAATGTAATAACTACCACATTAACAATAGTCATATTACTATTTTACTATTGATTTAAAGCTTACTTGAAATTTACCGGTTGGATGAAAGTAACCACTAAAGTGAAAATGTCTTAACTAAATGAACCTCCATAAGTGAGCCATTTTTTCAAACTTCTGACTGAGGATCCTTTACATTTAGGGCGGATTTGTATTATTTTTGCTACTCTTATTTGTAAGTATTGAAGTAAATTTCCATCTTGAGTTTCCAAACTAAAATAAGCCTAAATTCTTAAGAATTAAAAAAAAACTCTGTCTTGCTTTTGTAAACAGCAGGCTTGGAGGAACGACCCCTAAAAAAATGCCTTTTGCCTTTCTTTTGTAAACAGCAGTTATCAAGGAATGATCTCTAAAAGAAGGTGGAATGTTACCGTGATAGTTTATCTTGCTTTCAAATTCTTTACACGTAATTAAGCAACAAATACTTTTGTTGACTGGAATATACATATATATATATAAAAATATATAGACTCATTCTCACTTGAAACATACCACATTAGGAGAGCTTTTATACTAAATCACTCATTCAGTCATATTTGCAACACATGATGTAGGAACTTGAACAAATAGGAAATATTAGCAAGACATCTTAGCTTTTTTTTTTTTTTAACATGAGTCTGAAAAGTAATACTATGTCCAGTGTGACATGTAGAAAGGGAAAAATTTGAGCACGAGTCAGGTCAGGGAACTTCCTTAGTCTTAGAGCACAAATTTATTATTTATTGTGAATTCTTAATATCCATAATATTAGATCATTTTAAGTATGGATATCAAGATTTTCCAAAAGAACACTTTGGCTCTTGGTTTTGGTTCATTCCTATTACTTTTATCCTTGTTAGATGAAAAGTTAAACTGAAGCTTCCTCAGGCTAAATTAGAGTTAAAAACAAAATTCTTTACATTTTAAAATCCGCCTCTCAGATGACTCTAGTGTGATTAAGGGGCTCCTGGACAAATTTTTCCTATAATCTTAGTGTTTGAAGAACGAAAGCGCTCTTATAACAAAAATACAGGAAAGTATTTTAAAACTGATCCTGAACCTATTTGTATTAGTAACCTTTGCAGCCCCTCGGGGTGGAGTCCCTTGTGTTACCCTGACATCTAGGAAATCACCCTGCCCTCACTTCTGGGAAAGGCACCTGACTGAAGGCAGCTTACAGAGGGATGAAGTTGCAGGGAAGAGTAGGAAAGAACCGGAGACCCACATTTGTTTGTGGCTCGCTCATCTTTCCAGCCAGGACAGAAAGCTAGGTTTCATTCTTGATAGGACTCGCCTCATCCCCACCCAGTCCATCACCAAGTTACGTCAGTGTCATCTCAAACTAGATTTTGAACCCGTCCACTTCTCCTATCGTGGCTCTCACACCATGTCCTTGCCTGGACTCCTGCCGAGGCCTGACTGCTCCTTTCTACCCCCCTGCCAAGCTCTTTCTCCACTGCAGGAGTGACTTGAGTTCACCATTGTGCCCTTAGCCTCAAGCTAATGATTGGATATTGTGTTATTATGGCAAGCATGATCATGTCTCTGCTGTGTTTAAAATTCTTCTGCAGCTTCCCAGAGCACTCAGTAAAGTCCCCACTGCAGCTTCCTCTTGGGCCCCTTCCCCATTCTGACTTCCAGCCACACTGGCCTCCTTGCTCTTCCCAGCACACACCCCGCAGCTTCCTGCTGCAGGGCTCTGAGGTAGGCGGCTTCTCAGCTTTGAAAGGTTTCTGCCCACACTCTCTGTTTGACTAACGTCTGCTCATCTGTCAGACTTCAGTGCAACTGTCACTTCCTTTGGGAGGCTCTCCCGGGCCCTCTAATCTCAATCAAGCCAACCCCATCATATCTGTTCATAGCACTCTACCCCTTTGGCTCAGTTTGTCATTATTTTTACTTCAGCAGCTGCCTCTCTCCGCTCACACTGCAGCCACAGCTTCCAGCCCAGGACTGTGGGTGTGTTGTTTGAAGGCACTAACCTACAGGTGCAGGGTGGCTTAGCCGTCACCTGCACTGAGGTTGGGAGGTGAGGTGAGGATGGCATTGCAAGAACACAGAACAGGGTATGGGTTTAAGGAAAGTAATCCTGTCTTAATGGCTCGGGCTTTTAACCTAAGCACGGCTGGCATGATTATTTGCAAAAACATTAGAATAGGATTCTTTTAAAACTGACTTTTCACATATTGGCCGTTCATTTGATCCAATATGAATTGGCCAATGGGCAGAGTGCCAGTATTTTTAGTTCTATATACAAATATAATGTGGATTGTGACACAAGTAAAATTGTAATTAAGAAGTAAAATGCTCGTAGATAAATAATGCATTCTTTTAGCTTTAGTAGAGGTCTTTTTTTTTCTTTGAAGAAACTATAAATAGATCTTCTTTTGGATCTTCTAGTCTGTACATTTCTTAGAGTCACCAACCTTGAACACTGTCATACACTACATAACAACATTTCGGTCAATGACAGACCGCATATACAACAGTGGTCCTATAAGATCAGTACCACAGCCTAGGTGTGGAGTAGGCTGTACCATCTGGGTTTGTGTAAGTGCACTCCACAATGTTCATACAATGAAGAAATCACCTAATGACGCATTTCTCAGAACATATCCCCGTCCTTAAGGAGGTTGAGTAATTAAACTGCCTACACTTAGAGATGATAAGGCTGAAGCATGGTGGTTGGTGACTTTTTCAAGGTCACACTAGGCTGGTGTGAAGCAAAGCTGGAATTCGCCCAGGCCTTCTGGATTATAGACCAATATATTCCCCATTGCTTTATGCACCAGTGTTTATCTTTAATTAGCATTAATTGAAACTCAAGTCAGCAGTTTTTAGCATTGATGAAGTCATTGTTCTGTGATCTTTTTTAAAGACAAATTTTACCACTTGTCATTCAGAGAGCCAGATAACCCTGTTTCACTGCAACCAAGTCAGTGAGTCCAGGGCCAGACCCTGTTGGGCCTTTGCAAACACACTAACTCGGAGCAGCTGGTTGAATGAAAGGGGACTAGGGTAATTCTGAAAGTGTGGTAAGCCATTTACAGTGGATTTGAGAGCGCTAGGAGTTACACGATGGAGTTAAACATGGGTGTGTCTGATATTTGGCAAATTCACTTCAAGCCAAATGACGAGGCACACTCAAGAGCTAGGATGGGCCCAACTGGGAGGCTGCCCTAGTTCCCTAAGTGTGACCTGGCTGCATTCCCTGCCTCTCCTGGCAGAGAGCAGGCATTTACCCTTGCCTCTTCCCCTGCCTGCTGCTCAGCTCAAGCTGGGAACAGTGAGTATTCAGGTCTTACTGGGTCTCAGAGGATTTCCAGGCGAAATGCAAAGTGAGAAGAAGAAGGGAGGAGCCATAGGGCACCCAGCTCCTTCTGATCCCTGGATCTCAAGGAGAGCCACCCTCCCATTTTCTCCTCTGTTTTGTTAGTGTTTCTAGTGTAACAGTGTCGCCTCCTCCAAACAAGAAACAGCTTCTTAAAATGCCAGCCTTTCATTTGTCACATTGGACCAACACTGTTGTGGTGGAGTCCAGACAGACCTGGGCCCATACCAGCTCTGCCACTTGCAGTGTAAACTTGTTGCAGGTCACAGAACCTCTGAGACCCTCAGTTTCCTTTTCAGTAAAACGGGACTGTTGTGATCATTGAGATTAGGGGAATACTCACAGTAGACGCTCAATAAATGAGAATTGATGTTTTATTAATAGTAACTAGCTGAATGACCCTGGAGGAGTGCCTTCACATTCAGCGCTGTTCCCTTATCCAGAATACGAGGCAGTTGATCCCAAAGGTCTCTCAAGCCCATTTCAACACCTACAGTTCTGTGGGTCCTCACTCCAAGGCATTCTTGAATACTGACAGCCTAGCCTCTCTCCCACACACCCCTCCCATTTCCCCCTTACTAGGGGTCTAGCACCCCCGGCCCCACCACTTTGCCGCAGGGGAGGTGGACCCCGAGCTTGGGTCTATCGTGGGGCGCCCGGGCCGTGGATCTCCTGGTAGAAGAAGTGAAGAGAGTGCAGACGTTCCGGCGCCACCCCACGGACCCACGAGTTTCTGCAAACTTCTTGCCCAGTCCGAGCGCCTTCTGTGCCCAGCGCTCGAAGACGGCCCTTGGTGTCGGTACTGCGCAAGGGTGCGTGTCCTCGTCCGCCCGGCAACGGCTAGCTTCGCAGGCGCAGGCACCGAAAAGGAGTTCGAGGCCGCTGCTGCGCTGTCGGGCACCGGGCGCCCCCAGGCCGGCGTCTCCAGCCCCCAAGCGGGCATCTGCAGCGCCACGCCCTCGGCCGCCACCCTGCAGGCGTGGGCGGGCCCCCGGCTGCCGCTGGTGGGGGGGATCGCGGGGTAATGAGATGCTAATGAGGCTCGAATAAAGCGTCTTCGGGCTGGGTTCCCCGCGCTGCAGCCCACTCCCCGCCGGACTCTCGGGCCGGGCGCACTCGCCGCGCCGCGCCGCGCCGCCCCGCATCCGCGGCTTTCCCTCTGCGCCTTCTCCACCTCCGCTTGCTCCGACCCCGCCCTCCCGCCCTGACTGGGACTCCCGCCGGGCAGGAAGCGGCCCCTCCCGGCTCCGGAGCCGCCCGCCGGGTAAGTTGTCCGGCTGCGCCAGCTGTGCGCCCCCTGCCCGCTGGGATCGGGGGTGGGGGTGGGGGCGCGCTTCCGGGGACAGGAGGCCCCGGGCGCTCTGGAACCCCGCCTGGCTGCTCTGGCAAGTCTTTCCTGGCCCCTGCCTTGCACAGCCCCTCTCCAGACTTTACGGTCCAGAATGTGAGTAGCCACCCCACCCCACCCCCGCCGCCAGTGATCCAGCTCCCTCTGCATCCTTCCAGACCGCTCCACCCCTCGCACACCCTTTGTCCTGGCGTTTCCAGTTTGGGTCGCCCCTCTCTCCTCCTTCGCTGACGTCTTCCTCTTTCCACTTCCCCTTCTCCGAAGACAGACCTTTGCCCTTCTGACATTTGGTCTGCTCTAGTCCGAATGCGGCGGACGACTGTAGTCTTCTCCCGCCTCGGCCTGGCCCGCTGGGCTCCGTCCGACTAGGACTGGTGGGGCGGCCGACGACGGGGGGATCAGCCCCGAGGACCTGCCCCCATCGATGCCACCCACCTTCCCTAACTCACCCGTAGGCAACCCCATTCTCCCTACCCTCTGATTCCTCCTGGTTCCAGCATGAGAAAGTCCCCTTCGACAGCCCTCAAGTTGCGTGGGTGCCCGAGCGAGGGAGAGGGGGACAAAGGGAGACCTTGTCTCGGGAGATTCCTGGGAGAGGACGCCTGAGCTCGCAGTGGATGAGGCGGTGCATCGATGGGGGTGGGAGGAAGCTGGGAGGGGCAAACCCAGCTGTTGTCGCCCCCCAAACCACCCTGAGGCCCACTGGAGCAGAGGCGAGTCGCAGAGGAAGTATTTTGACCACAGTGAGTCAGAAATAGATCCAGTCCGCCATCACCCAGTCAGTCGCAACATCCTCCCCTGTTTGGGTGCTGGGAAGTGGAACCTATGTTAAAGACTGTCGTCGTCCCCCCCCCCCCCCACCTCAGGAGGCAATCACGAGTGATAAGGAAAACTTTGGCCCTGTCATAAGACACACCCTACACCCAGCATGGCACTGAGGCCATCCAGGGGCACCCAGCACAGGGAGGCTGTGGGGTGAGATGGGGCAGTAGGTGTGCCCAGCAGCAGGAGTTGCAAGTATTAGGGTCTGTCCCTGTCTGCACAGCAAGGAAAGCTCTCCTCCTGGGCAGCCTGCCCGCTCCACGTCTGAGAAATTCCCACAAGCCCTGCTTCTAGGGCCTCCAGAAGGCAGGTAAGAATTCCTGCCGCTTCTGTCCCCTGGGCCTCAGAGATGGAGCAAGGCTTGGAGGTCCCTGGACAGGAAGGCTGAGCTGGGGACTCTCTGGCTTCCTGTGTGCCCTCTGTGTCCAGGATTGCTGATGTTTCATTTCCAAATTTGGCAGATTTCACTTGGAGTGGAAGGGCTAGTGGCTGTCTCTGGAACAGATCGGGAGCGGGCTGGAGAGAGGAGTAGAGCCAGACAGGGATGGACCCAAAGCTCCAGCCTACTTTCTTCTCCTCCCTTTCCTTTCCCTTCCTCCTTTTTTCAGCCTCCTCCCCTTCTCTTCCCTCCTTCTCTCCAGCTGCCACGTGCCTCTGCCTAGCTGCTCCCCTCCCTGGGAGCCCCAAGAGCCTGCATGGCCTCACCCACCTCCACCAACCCAGCACATGCCCATTTTGAGAGCTTCCTGCAGGCCCAGCTGTGCCAGGATGTGCTGAGCAGCTTCCAGGGGCTATGCAGGGCCCTGGAGCTGGAGCCTGGTGGGGGTCTGTCCCAATACCACAAGATCAAGGCCCAGCTCAACTACTGGAGTGCCAAGACGCTGTGGGCCAAGCTGGACAAGAGAGCAGGGCAGCCTGTCTACCAGCAGGGCCGGGCCTGCGCCAGCACCAAGGTAGATACATGGTACGTGGGCTTGGAGACTGGGGGCGTTGGTGGAGGGAGCCAGCATGCCATGCCCACACTGCCTTGTGTGTTCACAGTGCCTGGTGGTGGGTGCTGGCCCTTGTGGGCTGCGGGCTGCTGTGGAACTGGCACTGCTGGGGGCACGTGTGGTGCTGGTGGAAAAGCGCACCAAGTTCTCTCGCCACAACGTGCTCCACCTCTGGCCCTTCACCATCCATGACCTTCGGGCACTCGGCGCCAAGAAGTTCTATGGGCGCTTCTGCACAGGCACCCTGGATCACATCAGTGAGCACCATGTGGTGGCCTGGAGGGGCGGGTGAGCCTGGGTCTAGAGATAGGCCTACGGGGGGCTGCTGGGCCAGCCAAGAGGCAGAGTGGACAAGATTCATTTCAGACAGGTGACCATCAGGACTCAGGTCCCTCCTCTGTAAAATGAGCTGAGTGATCTTTAAGACCTTCTCCAGCTCTGACCGCTGCTCAGGGGGGCTGTGCGGTCCTGGGGTCCGTGTTCCTAACATCCTCTCCCTTCCAGGCATCCGGCAGCTTCAGCTGCTTTTGTTGAAAGTGGCATTACTGCTGGGGGTGGAAATTCACTGGGGTGTCACTTTCACTGGCCTCCAGCCCCCTCCCAAAAAGGGTAAGTACTTCTCTGCTCCCGAGAACTCCCATCTGTCAAGGACATTTTGGCCCGTCAAAGAAAAAGAGTCGGGCTGGGAGTCAGCTGAGTCTCTGTTTCTAATAGCGTGGCCTTGTGCAAACTACTCTGAGCCTCAATTTGAGCAGCTGTAAAATGGGAGTAATATTTCCCTCTTTACCTGCTTTCCACAGCTGTTGCGAAGGTGTAATTTCATAGACAATGTGTCATTGCTTTCTAAACCATAAAACCCTTTACACATTTATTTATTTCACTGGGTTGTGTGGGGCCCCTTCGGAATTCTGCACCTTTGTGCCTTTCACACCCTCTACCCCAGGGAGTGGCTGGCGTGCCCAGCTCCAGCCCAACCCCTCAGCCCAGCTGGCCAACTATGAATTTGATGTCCTCATCTCTGCTGCTGGAGGTAAATTTGTCCCTGAAGGTGAGTGCTCCTTTCCCTTGAGGAAACCAGCATGGGCTCCTCCTGGGCTTGCTAGGCTGTTACACCCCTCGTCTTCCTGCCATTACCCACTTGCCCCCACCTCTAGGCTTCACAGTGCGAGAAATGCGCGGCAAACTGGCCATAGGCATCACAGCCAACTTTGTGAACAGGCGCACCGTGGAGGAGACACAGGTGCCTGAGATCAGCGGTGTGGCCAGGATCTATAACCAGAGCTTCTTCCAGAGCCTGCTCAAAGCCACAGGTGAGGGCACCACTCACAGGAAACCCCCCCAGCCGCCTGACTGTGGGCTCGCTCCCGCCTCTCCCTCCCAGGTGCTCAGTCCAAAGGATCCCCCACTTTTCCATCTTTGTGGGGTCTTATGCCCCAGGGACTCAGCAGACACAGCCCCACTTGGCCACCCAGCGTGACAAGTCATGGAAATCGGTCACAAAATGTGTGGGATTTTGTTTTTTTATATATGCTTTATTATAAAAATGATATAAATACAAAATGAAAGCGGTACTTCAAGAAGATGCCCTATGTTTACTTTGACTTTGCACGGTCACGCCCCGCCGAGGTGTGCACACCTCAGTGTGAGAAGCCAGGCTGTTGTCCACAAGCATGTGACCATATGGTGCAGGTCTCCCAGCTGCCACCCCATCCAGAGAGAATTTCTCTCTGCTCCAAGTCCTCAGGCCTCCTGGGCTGGAACAGATGGCCCACTGTGCCAGCCGGACTCATGGGCCCCTGTGTCAGGGGCACCCACTGCAGTCTAAGCTGTAATCCCAGCTCTCAGAGGTCAGGCAAGGTGTTTAGAGCAGTGACACATAAGGAGGAAACACACCTGCCCCCTGCCCTGTCCCCCCAGGCATTGATCTGGAGAACATTGTCTACTACAAGGATGACACTCACTACTTCGTGATGACAGCCAAGAAGCAGTGCCTGCTGCGGCTGGGGGTGCTGCGTCAGGTGGGGCCCGGGCCCAGGCAGGCAGGGCTGGGCAGTAGGCCCTGGGAGGTAGAGGCCAGGCATGGACACTGTCTCCGCCCGGGTGTGGAGGGAGCCCGTCCTCTCCTGCCTCTGCCCTGACATTTCCTTCGCCTCAACAAGCTCTTCTCCCCTGGGATTCCATGGCAGGCTGAGTCATATTCTGGGCTAGACACATTGTCCTGGCCCCAGGACTACAAACAGGAGCTCCATGAAGGCAGGGGCTTTCTCTCTGTGTCTGTTTTCTTGCTGATTATTCCCAGGGCCTAGAATGGTGCCCGGTGTGTAGTAAGCACCAAGTAAGTATTTGCTGAGTGAACCAGTGGAAGACCTTCTGTTCTATGTGCGAGGGACTGTGGTGAGAGCACTCTGTGCATTTTCTCACCTGATTCTCATGAGTACCTTGAGAAGTTGGGTATGTCATCTCTAAATGAGGGGGAAACTGAGGCTCTGCTCAGTGACTTGTCCAAAGCAAGTGTATGGTAACAGCAGCGGTCCTGGGCCTTGGGGGCAGGTGAGTGCTGGGGAAGGGGCTTGAACATGGGAGGCAGGACATCCAGATTCTAGTCCCAGCTCAGCCTCCAACTGCTGTGGAGTCTGGGGAAGCTGCTTCTCGGGGCCTCAGTATGTGCCCTTTCTACATCCAGGGGGACAGGATTGCCCAACTGACACTGCTCGTTCTGATCTGTTGGCCACGTAGGACTGGCCGGAGACCGACCGGCTGCTGGGCCGTGCCAACGTGGTGCCTGAGGCTCTGCAGCGCTTTGCTCGGGCAGCTGCTGACTTCGCCACCCATGGCAAGCTCGGGAAGCTGGAGTTTGCCTTGGACGCCCACGGGCGGCCTGATGTTGCTGCCTTTGACTTCACGAGCATGATGCGGGCAGAGAGCTCTGCTCGAGTGCAGGAGAAGCATGGCGCCCGCCTGCTGCTGGGGCTGGTGGGGGACTGCCTGGTGGAGGTAAGGGGCTCAGCATTCCCTGACTGGGGCAGGGGGAGGGGCCTTCTGGTGCCTCCAGAGACAGGGACTCCTTGTAAGGAGGCACAGGGATTCTATGGTTGGGGCAGGAAGATGCCTCATGGGAAGAAGAGGGTAAAAAACAGTTTGCTTGTTGTAAGGAGGAGCTGAGGATGGCCTGGCGGGGGTGAGAGGCTGCTTGGTGTGGGCTCCCTCTGCTGTGACCTTGGGGGCATCTGGCCTTAGGCACTCTGCTTGGACTCTCACTGAGCTGTTTCCTATCCTTCTGACCCTGCAGCCCTTCTGGCCCCTGGGCACAGGAGTGGCTCGGGGCTTCTTGGCAGCCTTTGATGCAGCCTGGATGGTGAAGCGGTGGGCAGAGGGCGCCGGGCCCCTACAGGTGTTGGCAGAGCGGTGAGGCCTGAGTTGGGGGGGGGGTGGGGGAAGGCAGGGCTAGATATAGGACAAGGGTCAGGAAGGGGGTGGGGGTGCTGGGTGAATAGACAGTGGCATGGGCAAAAGAGAATCAAAGAAGGGCCTGGCAGTTCTTGAGGGGTGGGTGCTGATGGTGTCCCCCAACTCATGCCCTTGCCCCCACCCTTACCCCCTCAGTGAGAGCCTGTACCAGCTCCTGTCACAGACATCCCCAGAAAACATGCACCGGAACGTGGCCCAGTATGGGCTGGACCCAGCCACCCGCTACCCCAACCTGAACCTCCAGGCTGTGACCCCCAATCAGGTGAGACCCCCTGGCACCCCCACCAGACTTCCTAGGTCAGCCCCCCTCCTCCAGGTCAGGCCTTCCCTCCAGGCCTGCCCAGTTACTGCCCCTCTGGGTGAGCCCTACCCCAGGCAGCCCCCCTCCGCCATGGGCGGAGGGGTGTGTGTGGTCAGCCTGCCTTGACACCTGAAAGGGGCTGCCTTAGGTACAAGACCTGTATGACGTGGTGGCCAAGGAGCCTGTGCAGAGGAAGAGTGACAAGACAGATGCAGGAAAGCCGGTGACTGGTGAGCAGGCCTTCCTCCAGGGCCATGTCCAAAATATCTCCTAACCAGTGAGACCCCAGCACCAGCCATCAGAACAGCTGCAGCTGCAGGCCAGCGGCAGGGTACTGGAGCACTATTGGATGGTGGGGAAGTTGGAGAGTGGAGGGGCTATGGAGCACTCAGCAGCAGCATTGCCAATCTATGTGGAAGTATTTCAGTATTTTAACAACCACTACAAGTATAGCAGCTGAACGGCAGCTCTGCTGCGCTGTTCCCAGCTGTTCTGCCTTACCCCTTCCAGCCTTGCAGACCCCAAACCCGCCTTTCCTTTGAGCCTCTGGGCCCTCCTTGCCCCTCAGTTCATAGGCTGCTGCCCGCTGTTTGGCTGGCAGTGATTTCACTTGATTCATTCCCCTACTTTATTCCAAAGGGGGGATTTTTTTTTAAATGAGAAAATTGGGATGAAGGAGGTACTGCTGACAGTGAGCATTATGCTAGTGCCCCAGTAGGGGTGGGTCCCTGATCACCTCCCCCCGACCCAGCGTCTGGGCTCTGTGAGCCAGAGGGTCTGGGCACAGCACAGCCTCCTCTCCCAGGGTCGGCGGGCACCCAGGAGGAGCTGCTACGCTGGTGCCAGGAGCAGACAGCTGGGTACCCTGGTGTCCATGTCACCGACCTGTCTTCCTCCTGGGCTGATGGGTTAGCTCTGTGTGCTCTGGTGCACCGGCTGCGGCCTGGCCTACTGTGAGTTGCAAATTGGGCTCAGGGGTCCCTGGCAGAGCATAGCCCTCTTTCGTGCCTCTGCCCCTCCCTCTACTTCAGGTGGTGTGGAATGGTGGGGAGCACCAGTCGCAGAGCCACCACTTGCTAGTAATCCTTCTCCCCAAGTCACTGACCTCCTTAGAGATAGTAGTCCTGCCTGACTCTGCCTTCCCACCAGAATCGAATGCATTCACTAGACGAGAGCTTTGTGAGTGGTAGGGGCCCCCCAAGGCCAGAAGCAGTTGTCATTGGGTGATGGTGGGGGGTGTGTAGCAGAGAAAATAAAAACCCTTCGTGTCCTATCCTCCCTTTGTGCTCCCCCCCGCCCCTACCCACTGTCCCACCTCTGCTGCTGTCTCCTCAGAGGAATCAGGTGCTGATCTCCCACTGACTTTTCTCCCCAACACCCCACAGGGAACCCTCAGAGCTGCAGGGGATGGGGGCTCTGGAAGCAACTGCTTGGGCACTGAAGATGGCAGAGCATGAGCTGGGCATCACGCCAGTGTTGTCCGCACAGGCAGTCGTGGCAGGAAGTGACCCACTGGGCCTCATTGCCTACCTCAGCCACTTCCACAGTGCCTTTAAGAGCACCCACAACCCAGGTGACCTGGAGGGTAGATGGGTGGGCAGGGGTGGGGTGAGGAGGTGTGTGAGAGAGACAGGGGAGAGGGTGCCCTCTAAGAGACAGCCTCAGAGAGGTGTCCTTCTGGGCTGGAGCACAGCTGTCTGTTCTGGGGGTACAGTATTGGTCCCCCATCTACCCTGACTCTCCCTGCAGGCCCTGTCAGCCAAGGCTCTCCAGGGACCTCCAGTGCTATACTATTCCTTGGCAAACTGCAAAGGACCCTGCAACGGACACGGGCCCAGGTGGAAAGTCTGGGCAGGGTTGGTGCTGGGCAGTGGGTTCCTAATAGGGGTCCCTGGGATGATGGGGAGGAGGACTTTCAGAATGGGGAAGAGGAAGACTGGGGGCTCAGAGCCCCATGCTGAGGATAGGACTTGTTGCAGGAAAATGAGAAGGATGTTGGTGGCAAGAAGCGTCGCCTGGAGGTAAATGCACACAGGGGCTGGACGGTCCCCTGCCCCATGTCCTGTCCCCACATGTCTTGCTCCCCACCCCAGGTCCTGTGACTCCCCCATCCAGTCTCTGTTCCTAGCCTCACTCCCCTTCCCTTCCAACCCTTTCTATTCATCTGCACACATCCACTCCCCAGCTGGTCCTGCCCCTCCACCTCCCCACCTTTCCTCCTTAGGTAGAGGCTGCGACCCCAAGTACGGAGGAGCCACCTGTCCCAGAGCCTGGTGTACCCCTGACACCCCCATCGCAACACCAGGAGGTGAGAATGGGGGCCCTGTCTGCAGGCAGAGGTGTGGGGAGGGCAGGGAGGGGTTTTTTTAGGGCAAGGGAAGAACTTTGCAGCTGGCCTTGACTCCAGCTGACCCTGTGGCCTGGGGTTGGTGCAGGCCGGTGCTGGGGACGTGTGTGCACTTTGTGGGGAACACCTCTATATCCTGGAACGCCTCTGCGTCGATGGCCGTTTCTTCCACCGGAGCTGCTTCCACTGCCATAGGTGTGAGGCCACATTGAGGCTGGGTGACTATGGGCAGCACCCAGGGGATGGTGAGTGGCCTGGGAGGCCTCTGGAGGGCTTTGGGCATGGCCCTGCCCGGGGACAAAGAGCTTGAAGGTGAAGGGGAGCTGGGGTGCTGAGCACAGGGTGGAAACAGGCTCAAGATGGCACCTTCTTCCCCTGAGCTCTGGGTCTTCTCTGTCCCTCTCCAAGGCCCCAAATGTGGGGCTCTAAGGAACCAGGAAGCTCGTAGAAATTCAACTGCAAATCCAGAGTCCTGTCGCCCCCACCTTCCCTGATAAACTGGGTATCTGGGCATTGGGCTGCCTCCATCTGATGCCTCCTCCCCCTCTCCACCCTTCCCAGGACATTTCTACTGCCTCCAGCACCTGCCCCAGCCAGGCCACAAAGAGGATAGCAGTGACAGAGGCCCTGAGAATCAGGTAAAAGCTGTGAAAGTGTGTTGGGGGGTGGGAAAGAGGAAAGGGGTCTCTCCAAGCCCAGCTGGCTTTGCTGGGGTAACTGAATGTTCTCCTCCACTGGAATGTAAGCTCCATGAGGGCAAGGGGTTTGTCTTGTTTTACTTATTGTTGTATCCCAAGTATCCAAGACACTGCCTGACACTTCAATAAACGGTCTAAGTGAATGAATGCCAGGGCCCAGTTTGTCTTAAGGGGCAGCCTCAACCCCGCACAGGGCAGGTCACTGACCAGACCACACCATGGCTTTTCCAGGAGCTCCCTACACCGGATGAGAATAGCATGCCATCAAGCCCGGCTCCCATGGCCACCCAGGAGGAGGCCAGTCCTGTCCCAAGCCCCAGCCAGCCCACCCGTCGGCGGCTCCGCCTCTCCAGCCCAGAACGCCAGCGGCTATCCTCCCTCAACCTGACCCCTGACCCAGACATGGAGCCTCCACCCAAGCCCCCCCGCAGCTGCTCTGCCTTGGCCCACCAGGCCCTGGAGGGCAGCTTTAGGGGCTGGGGAGTGCCAGTCGAGAGCCCTCAAGGTAAGTGCTCTGCCCAGACATGCTGATGCAGGGTGGGGATGGGGCAGGTAGTCCTGGGATTCCTGGAAGGGGAATGCTAGGGAATGGAAAGCGAGGTCCTGGGGATCCCAGGCCATGTCTGCTGCTCCTCTGCTCAGTTCTTGTGGCCATGGAGAAGGAGGAAGAGAGTTCCTCCTCCAGTGAAGCGGAAGAGGAGGAAGAGGAAGCTGTGGCCTTGGAGTCAGGCGTGGAAAAGGTGAGTGGGAGGAACCTGGCCACCCATTCTGCCCAAGCCAGCACACATCCACTAAGGCTCCCCGGCCACAGCAGAAGCCTTACCACACTCCCTCCACTGAGCCCTTCTCTCCGAATGTCTTCTCACCCAGTCTGACTCTTTACTGTTTCTAAGCCTCCATTTTTTCTACCAGAACTTACCCCACTTCCAGCCCACGTTCTTTCTGGTCCCTTGCAAACAGAGCTTCCCCAACCCCTATCCACCAGGGGGGGGCTAGGCCCTACCCCTGACTGGCCTGACCCTGCCATAGACTCTGCGGACCCTTGCCGAGAAATCAGGCACCATGGACAAGTACCCAACATGGCGCCGGACTCTGCTGCGCCGTGCTAAGGAGGAGGAGATGAAGAGGTTCTGCAAGGCCCAGGTGAGGCCTAGGGGCTCCTGGACTGACTCTGATGGGGTCAGAGTTCTGAGACCGCAGGTCAGAGCTCCTCCAGTGCTCTGTTCTTGAGCAATCTGAGGACTCCTGGGCCTTCTGTCTTGTACCCCTCAGGCCATCCAGCTGCGACTAAATGAGATCGAGGTTGATCTGAGGGAGCTAGAGGCCCTGGGCATGAAGCTGGAGCTGGCCTTGAGGAGCCAGAGCAGTGAGTGAAGACAGGGGAGGGACAATCTAGGACACCCCTCTGCCTCCTAGCCCTGTGTTCAGCCCCCAGCAGTCCCTCAAACCACCAGGCTCTGGCTGACAGCAGGCTCCTCATGCCCTGACTCCCGTGACCCGGGCTGGAGGCCTCCTGACCACTCTGCCCCCACTTCTTCCTTCCTGTCAGGTTCCCCAGAACAGGAAAAGGCACTATGGCTAGATCAGCTGCTACAGCTCGTTCAGAAGAAAAACAGCCTCGTGGCTGAAGAGGCCGAGCTCATGATCACGTAAGGGGCAGGGGTGGTGACAGTGGCACGTGATCCAGGCCCCAGCCAGGTCTTTGGGCACCCTGGAAAGCTGTCCCTTTTTTATCCCTGCCCTTCACAGGGTGCAAGAGCTGCACCTGGAGGAGAAACAGTGGCAGCTGGACCAGGAGCTACGAGGCTACATGAACAGGGAAGGTAGGTGGGATGTCAGGAGGTGGACGTCACGGCGCTGGTGTGCACAAGTTTTGTGATCTCAGATACGGACCAAGCAACATGGTCCTCTGGCATGAGTACCTCTGAGGCAATTCAGGAGGAAGCCAGAGGATGGGGCTCCAAGCCCCTACTCTGCCTTCACTTCAATCGGAGCTGCACAACTGGGCTTTTATGCAAGATTTCCTTTTAAAATGGTGCTGCTGCTAAAAAATGCTAGAAGACCACTGGTGTTGACAAACCTAATTTTACATACTAGGAAACAAAGCCCGGGTTGTAGAAGTCACACAGGCCAGGATTAGGGTGTCCCTCTCCTGTGTCCCTGCTCCGTTTCCCTGTTCTCTAAGCTTCGTGTCCTCCCTTCAGAAGACCTAAAGACAGCTGCCGATCGGCAGGCTGAAGACCAGGTCCTGAAGAAGCTGGTGGACGTGGTGAACCAGCGGGATGCCCTCATCCGCTTCCAGGAGGAGCGCAGGCTCTGCGAGCTGGCCTCGGGGCTTGGGGCCCAGGGCTAGAAGAGGGTGGGCTGCCTGCCTTCTTCCATACAAGGGAGATCACCTCACGCCAGGGCAGTGCCGCCCTGCTCGTCTGGACTGCCTGGGAGAGGGCCTCACTGCTTATAATAAAAATGATTCTGCCACAAACAGGGTTCAGGCTGCTTGTGGGTGGGAGGTGGGGGGTGTGCAGGGAGGTCAGGAGATGTGTAGGAGCCTGACAGTCTATGTTGTGACAATCACACCAACCCTGGCCCCAATCACTGCCTCTACAAGGTAAAAGGCAGAGCCACAAAAGTGTCAAGCTTTATTGTTCCTCAGCTCTGTCCCCCTCCTGCTGCCCCAAGAGTGGGACTGGCTGAGACTCTGGGCCCAGGTCCTGGGCATCCCTTGCTCTTCCCAGCACATGGTGGAGCTCAGCCCGGGCCCGACATAAGCCCTTGGCCTCCTGCATGTGGAAGAGGTAGACTGCACCTGCCCCTAGCACCAGTCCTACAGTGGGGGCCCAGAGCATTATGGCAATTTCCCTGACCCCTCCTCCAGCCACCAGGGCGCACACCAACACCAGGAGAAGCAGCCCTACGCCAGTCACATAACCAGCAAAGGTGGCCCACCAGTGAGCCTGAGACATGCCCAGGTCCAGTTCTGTCCAGGCCTCCCTTAGCACGCTGATCAACAGTGACCTCTCTGCTGCTCCTAGAACAAGGCAGGCAGTGGGGCAGGAGAGAGAGGGTCAGACTGGAGGGGCTGCTTTGTGGTGGGAAGGACTAAGGGAAAGGACGGGGGGTGACTCACCATGAGTAGGGCTGGCGTCCTGCTGCGGGGGGCTGTGTCTCACACACAGAGTAGCCATCAGGGCCTCATGATCAGAGAGGGGGGTGCCACTGTGAGGGTCACGGCCTATAGTTGTTTTCAGAGTCTTACAGGAGATGTAAAACCTAGAAACCGCCTAGAGAAAGTAAGGGCCAGAGACAAACTCACATTTGAGGGCCTCTTCCTAGAGAACCAGCTCCTGGCTACCCCATTCTCCAGCCATCAGTGACCTAAGACTAAACTAGCTGAGCAAGGGATCAGCACAGGCTGGTAAGAGATGAAGAGACACAGCAGGTGAAGGCACCTTGAGGGGAGAGCCCTGACCTTATACAGCACGTAGTCAATGCGGATGCCCAAGGGAAATGGCTCCAGCTCCTGCCGACTGACGTAGCAGTTCTCGGGTACCATTGTACAGCCTTCCTCAGAGCCCTAGGTGGAGAGTCGGCTCACGCTAGGATATGGGGGGAGGAGGAGGGAGAGAAGCTGGGGGTGTAGGTGGGGAGATAATCGGGCAGGCCCTCACCTTGAAGTCTCGGGTCTCAAGATAGGCATCATGCAGTCCTGTCCACTCCTTCAGCAGGCGGCAGCCCAGGTCCTTCGGGTGCAAGTTGAGGTCCCCACACAACAGAACCACGTCAGCCTTCTTGGAGGTATGGCTGGAGGAACCAGGTTGGTGAGGCAGGAATTCTTCCCTCACCAGCACTGCCCTCTAAGTGGGGCCTTGGCCACCCCTCAGTCCTTGGACCCCCATCCCACTTCCCCTGTCAAGCCCAGGCTCACACACTGGATGAACTGGGCCAGTTCCCAAGCTTGGGCCACACGATGTGCTAGGTAGATGTCCTTCTGTCGATTGTACTCGGCATGGAGCTGAGCAAGATAGATGAGATTGTAGCAGATGAAACTGAGGGTCTCAAGGGCAGGTCTAAATTAAGCTTGTGTCTGTCACTTGGCGTGGTGTGCTTGGTAAAAAAACGGGTGAACCTTGCCTACTGACCTTAGGAGATCCTGCTCCCACCCCTCACCCCCAGGCAGCCCAGCTAGAAGAGTCCCATCTCTTCCTCCCAGGACCAGGCTGCCTGTCCCAGCCCTAAGCACTGCTGGCTTCACTCACATGGGTCACGTAGGCATTGAGGACCAGTCCACTTAGATGGAGCACCAGCAACCCCACAGCCTTCCCACAGAACCAGTCACCATGATAGATCTGTAGGTGGGAGGGGACAGGAACTCAGAGCACTGCTCCCCTCTTTCTGCCCTTCCCCTGCAATCCCAGGAAGGCTGCCTCCTTTCCACGTGTTAGTGGAGGGTGGAGAGGGTATGTGGAAGAGGTCAGGCTTACCATGTAGGGGTAGCCATTGAGGGTGTAGATGTGCTGGGTGATTTCCTGGATTGAATGTTTGGAGAAGACACAGAGGCCACTGCCAATGATGCCACTGAAAGCCAAGTCCAGATTAATAGCCAGAAAAGTAAGGAGAGACATACTCAGCCCTCTTCCCCTCCCTTGCCTCCCGGCTCTTATTAGCAACTTTTTCCTCTATGCTGCTGGGAGTAGCCATAACACTAAGCTTAAAGCAACAACCTTTGTGGGGTGATAGGGTGGCCTGATGATAAGGCTGAGATGGGCTGAAGAACTAGATCTTCCAGGTTCCACCATTTCTTGCTCCCACACCCAGAGGAGAGGATCTTGGGGAAAAGGGGGGAGGGTGCAGGCAGGATAGGGAAGGGCTGGCAGAGCCAAGAGCCTCCAGGTCTGAGAACAGGCCTCCAGCTACTTCTCACCTCCTGAAGTAGTGGGCAGCTGGGTAGGTGGGTGACAGCTTCTGTCTCAGGTACTGGAAGTCTTGCTCACTCCACACCTGAGGGAAGGGGTGAGGATGCCTGCCTGGCCCTTGCCCGGGGAAAGTGCCCCCCAGCGCCCCCGGCCGCCCCGGGTGCCCCCCAGCCCCACCTCCTGCAGCAGAGCTAGGTCGAAGCTCTCCATGTTCAGAAAGTCTCCCAGGCGCTTCACGCGGTCGGCGCGGTGCTTGCTCAAGTAGGGAATGCCCCTGAGGATGAGAAGGGCCGGGGCGGGTGCTGCCTGGGGCGCTCAGCCCGCGGGGCAACCCCAGGGCTGGGGCCAGGAGTGGGCCTTGAGTGGTGCGGGCTCCCCCGCACCCCGAGATTGCAGGACAGGGTAGCGCCGTGCCCCGGATGTAGGGGAGGCCACCCTCCTCTGGCCGTGTGGGCGCGAACGTGACCGTGGCCCCAGAGCCCGCGCGGCGGGCGCACTCACCAGCAGTTGAGGCTGAAGACCCTCAGTCGCAGGGAGAAGTTGGGCTTCATGGCGGGGACGCTCCGGGGGCGCGAGACGGCCCGGTCTCCCCAGCGATGGCCGCGGCGGGGACAGGTGCAGGCCGGGGGCGGCGCGCACAGGTGGTCGGTCCCACTGTCGCGCTCCGCCGACGGCCGGGGCCTCCAAGCCCGCCCAGCTCAGGCCCAGGGCCGGGCGCTCGGCGCGCGACCGGCTCCCGCGTCACCCAGGCAACCGGCCTGCCAACCCGGAAAGGCGATCTGCCGCGAAGTCGCGCGCCGACGGGAGGCGAGGGCCGCTCGCGAGGGCTCGGCGCCGGGGGGTGGTCTCCGAGGGGGCACGGGCGGGCGGCGAGCAGGGCTGAGGCACGCGGGGAGCGGGGCTCCCGGCTCCTTCTCCCCGAAGCCCGTCCCAGGCGGCGGCCGAGCGCACACCCTCTCCCGCCTGTGGCCAGGCTCGCCAGCAACAGGCGCAAAGGAAAGGAAAGGCCGGGTCGCTGCCGTCGGCCCCGCCCCCTGGCCCCGCCCCATCCCACCCCCTGGGCCCGCCCCCATCCCTCCCCGCGGCTCCGGAGTCCGGCGAACAGCGGGGGCGGGGCCGCGCGGTTGCCCTGGCGACGCGCAGCGTTTGTGCTCGGAGAAGTGCCGGAGCGCCGCCATGGCTGGCCCACAGCCGTGCCAGCCGAGGTCGGTCCGGTGCCGCTCGCCGTCGCCGCCCGAGCCGCCGCTGCGGGTGAAGGTGGTGGGGCTCTTCAAAAGCGCCAGCTTTCAGATCGCGAAGAGCGCAGCCGAGGTAACCGCGAAGAAACCGCAGCGCCGCCGGCCGGCCCTTCCCGCTTCCCCGTCTCGCGCCTCCTGGTGGCCGGGGTCGATGTTCGGAGACGGGGTGTTCCGGGTGGGCGGGCTCAGTCTGGACGGACCCGAGCATACCGGGGACAAAGGGCGGGTCCGGGCGGGCGTTCCACTTCGAGAAGGGCGACCTTTAATGGGGGATCCGAGCGAAAGAAGCCTTCAGAAACTGGCTGGGAAAAAAAGGTAATTTCCTCCACGTACATGTCTGCATGTTTTATTCCATATTAATTTTTAATTGAATTATAGATTTGTAAAATTCATATAAAAATGTTTAGGAAAAAGTGTTACCACGTAAACTAGCTGATTTTTTACAAACTTAAGTGTTTTTTGAAAACGATTCATTCGTGAAGGTTTTTTTTAAAAAAAGAATTACTACAGCAGTCACTGCGTTCCAATCAAATTAGTTGCTTAAGGGATTTCTTAACAAATGACCCACAAGTGCTTTGGAACATCCAGACATTTCTTTGTAACCATGTGGAAAGATATAAAAGGAAAAACACTTGAAGGAACTGGAAGAATTTGGCCCGATCAGTTCAGGCTGCAGCATACCAATAACCTGAATGCAGGAGAAATGTAGAAATGTGTGAAATGTAGAATTCAGCACGTCTTTGGGATGTCAATGCAAATAATCTGTAATCAATCTATAAATCAAAATTGGGATAAGTTTACTATATGAACCAGCTTTGAGGACTATAGCCCGGTAGAAACACCTTCACCAAGGAAGGAAGCACTCCGAAGTGGGGTGTACAGTGTGGTTATATACCATCTTGGAACAAGGAACATAAATCACATATGACAGGAATATCCACTCCTTTTATTACAGTCACGAGATGCTTTGCTAGCACAGCAGGTCAGTGGTCAGCAGGTCATGGTCATGGGCTAAGCACAGTAGGTCAGTAATTCTTAGTTTCGGGGAAGAAATGCTTTTCTTTAAAGAAATGCCGATATGAGGCGGGGGGTCGTGCATCCCTATCTTTAAGGGCATCGCTCTCGTCTTTGAGACACTGCGAATGTTTAAATCAGATGTACAGTGTATGCTTGACAGGCCACATCAGGCCTTTCTGGAAAAACAAGTTCAGGCCGAATTAGTTTTAAACCAAATGGCTTCCTCATACTTCAGTATCTCTTATTGCTTTTATTTATTCATCAGGAGTTTGTGCCAGAAATGCTGCTGTAAGATTATGCCAAGCTTCTCTCCTCCAAAATCCCACTAGACTCCAGGACAATGCTTTATTCATGTTTGGATCTCCCAAAGTACCCAGCTGGATACTTGACACAAAATGTCCCCAAACAGAAGAAATCTTAAGAAATTCCTACCTTCTTGCCTGCTCCAAGTCCACAGAGTTAAATAAAAGTTTGTAACTATATCAAATCAGGAAATAGTAACTAATTTGTAAAACAGGTAAAGTTTATAGTAATATGAAGAGAACAAGTGATAAGTCTGAAAATGCTACATGGATCATCAAAAGAAGTAGAAATTATGGACTGTTATCTGGGCTGATGGGATCAGCAAAGTTTTATGGTCCAAGTTGTATTTAATGAGTTTGAGGGATTTTTTTCCCTTGTTTTTCTTTTTCTTTTTTTTTTGCTGAGGAAGATTAGCTCTGAGCTAACATCTATTGCCAATCCTCTTCTTTTTGCTTGAGGAAGATTAGCCCTGAGCCAACATCTGTGCCAGTCTTCCTCTATTTTATATGTGGGTTGCTACTGCAGCATGGCTGATGAGTGGTGTAGGTCCATGCCTGGAATCCAAACCTGCGAATCCAAGGCTGCCAAAGTGGAGTGCACTGAACTTAACCATAGGCCATGGGGCCGGCCCCCTTCCTTTGTGTTTTTTAGCTCCTTTTCTGAAGGCACATGTTGTTTGTGCCTGCTCCACACTGTAGAGAAGGTGTTGGCACTTTTTTTCTGTAAAGTCCAAATATTAAATTATTAGGGCTTTGGGGCCATAGGCTCCCATTCACAACTATTCAACTTTGTCCTTGTGCAAAAGCAGCCACAGACAGTATGTAAATGAATGGTGCTTTCCAATAAAACTTTATTATGGGCACTGAAATTTGATTTGCATATAATTTCACATGTCATGAAATATGATTCTTTTGACTTTTTTCAACTGTTTAAAAATCTAAAAATTTTTCTTAGCCCTCACGACTTGCAAAACAGGCAGTGAGCCAAATTTGGCCTGCTGGCCACAGGTTACTGACCCTTGATGCAGAGGACACTAAATCAAGAAAACAAGGTCTTTATTATATTAATAATGTTACATTTTCCCTTTTGTAAGCTTTTGTCTACTGTAGCTCTATTTGAATATGAAAATTTATCAATGTAAATTCAGTTAGTTCTATCTTCATAAAGGATCCGTGAATATATTCCCAACATGATCATTTGTGAGCAATCCCAGATGCCTAATTAACTAACAAAGATTTAGATTTGTAAAATGTAAGAATGAGTATTACATATATTCTAATTTGGATATAGTCCATTCTAGAATAAACACTGAATTATGAAGGAAGTATGATTACAGATGCTTAATCCGAAAACTGTCGGGCTCATTAGTTGTTCCGGGTGGTCCCTCAGTTAGAAACAGCAGTCATCCTGCGTGATTGCCTCAGACGGAGCCCAGACACTGGAAATGAGAGAAAGGACACCCCATCTGTTGCTTGGGTACAGAAGTCCAAGAAGGAAATGGCCACACTGCTGTTGCCCTCTTCTGCTACCCCTGGTCCCAAGGCAGGATACACTTGCATCCTAGCTTTCTCCCCTTCGAATATCCAGCCCTGATGAGCATGCCAGGCCAGGGTCCTCTTAGATCACAGCTGGAGTGGCCAGCTGTCACTTTTCCCTGTTGGCCCGTCTACTCCTCAGACCCACTCCGAAAGGTCTGATTGTTACTGCCTCAGCTGCCTTCTCTTGCTTTAGGAGGAAGCAGTGTAACATATCAGGAACCCAAACTTTTTTTTTTGACAGAGATGATTAACCAGTCAGAATTTTCTCTGATTCATATAGACAAAACAAGGTATGTCAAATCAATACATGCTCGATATCTAAACCAAAAAAATTTACTATTTATTTCTCTTTTTCCCAAGGGGTATAACCACAACAATATCCTTTTGGCTATTCTCCATATATCAGTGAATTAAAGCAATAACATTTATTTATTTTAGTTAAAAGTATTTGTAGATCCATTAAGGTTTAGTAAGAGTTAAATTTATGAAAAACTGGTCCAAAAAGAACATGACAGATCACAGAACTATTGGCATAAACTCATTTATTGATTTGTTCATTGAGTTGCTGTGTGTGGACGGTCCGTTATATGCCAGATGTTAAGGCCAGTGGGAATCCAGGAAAACTAAGACATTGTCTTTGCCCTCGAGGAGCTGAGTCTCTACAGGTGAGAGACAAATAAGCCAGAGCCCCAGTGTAGACTGGGGAGCAACTTAACGGAAGTAAGCACAGACTGTATCTAAGGGTATCTATGCCAGACTGTGTGGCCTGGGTGTGTATTGAATAAAACTTCCTGGAGACCCCATAAAAATTTAGAGAAATGATTTTCTACTTTAAAAGAGAACTTACTCTAAAATGATTATTCTGTTTTGAAACCCAGAGTCTCAAGAATACTTATCCATCCAAATTCGAAGATCCTGTAATAGTGCCTCTTCAAGAATTTGCATGGGATCAATATCTACTGGAGAAAAAAAGGGTAAAGGATATTCGGGGTGTGGGAGATGAGCACAGTTTTGCCTGAATTACTGATCTATGCATTGTTTTGAAAAAACTGAAGCAGTAATTTCAGTGCAGCTAGATTTTAATTTCTCTAACTTATGCACTTTTCCTAAATTATGTCAGTCGTTTTACCAGGCTGATTTTAAGAAGAAGTAAAACATGTACAGGGTTTTCTTTTGGAAGGCCTGTGATGAAGGTAAGTTTTAAGCTCTCAGTGCTGCTGTTGACCCCTGCTGATGGCTACCCCTCCTTTCCCGCCCATCATTTATACTCCCTGGGACACCATGGCGCTTGGGTTACAGTGGCCTGGCACTCTCTTGGCCCTAACTCTAAGAGGGTTTGGTGGTGTGCGGCACAGGTATAGTGGGGGGCTGGTGTGGGGCTGTTGCCGAGGGGAGTTCTGATGATGACAGGCATGAGATTCCCAGAGGGTAGCCTTGTCCTCATGAAAGCTTCCTTCTCTGCATTCTTCCCCCCAGCAGTACCCTTGGAGAACCCCAGACCTTGGGGCCAACAGAGCTTATCTACGGGTGGCAGAGCAGATAGGTTTCCTCTTGGGTATCAACCCTGATCAATTAGTAGTGCTGCCTGGAGCATGTGATACGAAGGATATGAAGGGTGGCATCCTGGCTCAGCAATCTCTCGTGTTGGGGTGGGAGGCTGGAATGGGCTATGCCTCCTGCTTGTCACCCCTGGCCCAGTCCTATAGAGGATCCCAGTTCTGGTTTCCCTTCCTCACCACATCTCCCCAGTGGCTGATGAAATCCCATTTCCCCTGACCAGAGCAGTTTCGATTGCTGTGTAATTGGTTGCACAAGGATGTCCTGTGATCCTGTGGTCAGTCACCCAGGCCGCAAAGGGCACAACACCGCAGAATGGAGTACACTCCCATCTTTTAAGAGGATGGTGGGAGAAGACAAGAGGAGTGAGTACCAACCGCAGAGCAGATCATGGCCCTCCTGTGGCTGGAGAGCACGATGCTGGTAGGCAGTATCATACGTTTAGTGATAAAAATTAAGAAAAACATTGTTTTATGTCAGGGTGACCAACTATCGCGGTTTGCCTTAGACTGTCCCAGCTTTAGCACTGAAACTCCTGCTCAGTCAGGTGAACGGTAGGAGACCAAATCAAGAAGACGGTTGATGAGTCTCATACATTTTCAGAGCCATAATACAGTTTCATTGGAATTCAAATAGAACCAGAATAAACACTTATATATGGTGCTTATTATATGCCAGACACTATTCTAACGACTTGTATATACTAACTCTAATACTTATAACAACTAGGGTGACCAGTGGTTTGCCTGGGACTGAGTGGTTTGCTGGGATGCAGGAATTTCAGTGCTAAAGCTGGGACAGTCTAAGGCAAACCGCAACAGTTGGTCACCCTGACATAAAACAATGTTTTTCTTAATTTTTATCACTAAACGTATGATACTGCCTACCAGCATCGTGCTCTCCACCCACAGGAAGGCCATGATCTGCTCTGCGGTTGGTACTCACTCCTCTTGTCTTCTCCCACCATCCTCTTAAAAGATGGGAGTGTACTCCATTCTGCGGTGTTGTGCCCTTTGCGGCCTGGGTGACTGACCATTTTGTGTTCTTTTCCTCCTGCTTTTCTCATGGGGCCTGCATGAGGCTTTCTAGGTAATCCCTGCTGCTGCTTTCCACCTTTTATTCTTTGTTCCTTTTCCTTCCTTTCTCCCTTCTCCCACCCTCATCTCCTGGACACTTGTCCCCTTAACCTTTTCTTCCCTTTCAGGCCAGCTTTTTGTCCTTCTTCAGTGTTAAGCATTGTATCCTGTGTTATATGTAGTGCTTCTCAGCATACTTGAGGTTAGGTCCAGGGGGCGTTAGGCTTCAGCAGAATGTAATGTCCAGACGGACGGCTTCAGGCCTTTTGGAAAGGCCTTTCTCTCCCTTCCCAAAAAGGCAGCATCATAGATCTTAGTGCTGGACAGCCCTGGAAACCACTGGACCCAGCCTGCTGTCATGAGACAAGGCATTTACATCTTCAGCCTCCAAAGAAAGTGGACAAACTTTTTATCCTCTTTTTAATGTTTTTTTTTTTTTTTTTTTGGTGAGGAAGACTGGCCCTGAGCTAAGCTCCATTGCCAGTTCTCCTCCTTTTTGCTTGAGGAAGACCATCCCTGAGCTAACATCTGTGCCAGTCTTCCTCCATTTTGTTATGTGGGATGCCGCCACAGCATGGCTTGATGAGCAGTGTGTAGGTCCACACCCAGGATCCAAACCCGCAAACCCTGGACTGCCAAAGCAGAGTATGCAAACTCAACCACTATACCACCAGGCCAGCCCCCCAGTTTTTAATGTTTTGTGTCCTATAAAATATGATCATACTAGTAAATTCAGCATTCTGGGGAGTATTGACCCATAGGCTCTATCAGTGTTTTGCAGCCCAGCATGAACAAAAAGTTTATTCTCTTCTCTGAAGCAGGTTTTGATGAGGGCATGGGAAGTGAGCAATAGCACATGAACTCTCCTGAGAGGAGCTGGGAATGGAGCAAGCTGGCAAGCTGAAGGCAAACTCTTCCCCAAACCAGCATCTCTCCACGTGCAGTCTCCAGACCAGCAGCATCAGCATCAGCATCTCCGGGGATTTTGTTAGAAATGCAAATTCTCAGACCCCATCCCAGAATCAGAAGCTCAGATGGGGCTCAGGAATCTGTCATTCTGATTGTCTGCTAAAATTGAAGAACAGCTTTCCAAATTATTCCTATTTCTGCCAGGACTGGCACTGGGTAATAATAAGCCAGATCTCCTCGGAGGGGACATTACTCAATGGCCACACACTGGGATTTAGGTTGGCTCTCAGTGTTGTGTTGATGAAAACACTAACACACTTTATTTTGAGGGGCTTAGGACTTAAAAGTGTTGACAAAGGTGAGTTCTTTTCTTCACTGCTCCTGACTGGCCCTCAGGAAGCATTTCCTCACCCTGACACACCTCCATCAAAAAAGAATTCTTTTGGGGCTGGCCCCATGGCGTAGTGGTTAAGTTCAGTGCACTCCCCTTCAGCAGCCCAGGTTCACAGGTTCAGATCCTGGGTGCAGACCTACACCACTTGTCAGCAATGCTGTGGTGGTGACCCACATATAAAGTGGAGGAAGACTGGCACAGATGTTAGCTCAGGGCTAATCTTCCTCAGCCAAAAAAAAAGAAAAAAAAAAAATTCTTTTGCTCCTTTGCCTTGAAAACCACGTATGACTCAGAACCGCTAACCTTTCCATGTATGCACAAGGTAAAATGTGCTTCAGAAATGAGGTCAGAGGCTGCATTTTGTCTTCAAGTTAATATAACAAGTATGCTACACACACAGGTTCTTATTACCAGATTACCATCTGTTTTCTATGATTGTACCATTGTTAAGATGACTCTTAAGTCATTCTTTGCTTTGAGTGATGTCAGATTCTTAAAAATGCTCTTAAATTCTTTTTTGAGAGCAAAATTCTCAAAGATAGCAAAAAATATATTTTTTAAAGATTCAGTCCTAGAGTTGATCCCAAGCTCTGGCTTATGGGGGTTTTTTTGTGTTGCTTTTTCCTCATTACATTTTCTTGGTCCTTTTCCTTTATAGGAACTCAAGAATGAAGTCTGGGAATATTCTTCCTATGTGATGTGTTTTGTTAATGATCAGCTCCTGGGTGATGCCCTTGACCTTCAGAAATGGGCCCACAAGATCTGGGATATAATTGATTTCAGGCCGCCTGCACTTTACGAGGCACTTACTGTGGATTTTTCTACTAACTTCTTAAGAGACACCAAGGCAAGTTACACTAATTTTTTTTTTTTTTTATTGAAGATTTTATTTTTTTCCTTTTTCTCCCCAAAGCCCCCCGTTACATAGTTGTACATTCCTTGTTGTGGGTCCACCTAGTTGTGGCATGTGGGACGCTGCCCCAGCGTGGCTTGATGAGCAGTGCCATGTCCGCGCCCAGGATTCGAACCAACGAAACACTGGGCCGCCCGCAGCGGAGCGCGTGAACTTAACCACTCGGCCACAGGGCCAGCCCCAAGTTACACTAATTTTTAAAGAAAAATGGTGGAATCTTTGATCATTTATATTAATTCAGTGCTGATTACTGATATTTTGGCAAAAGGGAATATAAAAGAGCAGGAGACCAGGTTTTAAGTTTCCAATGACCTTATGATCCAGTTGCAAAGGATATAATCTGGCAGGTTCTGCTTGGTGGTATGTTACGCATGCATATCTCACAGCAGGCACACTGCACAGGGAGAAAAGCATTGCTGTCCAACATTCCTGCTCCTTGTTAGAGATTTATGTGCATTAATTATCACCCATTTAAAAATAGACATCTATGTGCTGTGTATCGATGGTTCAGTCAATGACGGACCACACATATGCCAGTGGTTCCGTAAGATTAGCACCATGTAGCCTAGGTGTGTAGTAGGCTACACTATCTAGGTTTGTGTCAGTACACTCTATGATCACACAGCAACGAAATCACCTAACAACACGTTTGTCAGAAAATATCCCCATCGTTAAGTGACACACGACTGTAAAGACAAGCCTTCCCAGAAAAGGTCGAGTCTGTCATTCATACCTTTAGTATGAAATATTTTAATTAATACTTTCTAACACCTGAGAGCTGCTGCACAAAAAGAATGGAAAGTCGAATTGAGAAGAAAGATGACTTTTTAAAGCATGACACAGTTGGCAAAAGCAGGACTAGACAAGCTGTGGCATTGGGGAGGTTTCCAATGGCAGAGGACAGTCATGAAACTTGAGGTCCAGAGAGCGAGAGAAAGATGTCAGGGTGGAATGGCAATAGAGGTAAAGGTAATCTGTAATTTTGCTCAGAAACCTTGTAGCAACAAGTACCACATGCTGAAAATTGTTTCATGCCCATGGTGGCCTGTGCCCACGGAAAGACCCAGGGCTAGGATCTGAGCCGTGCAGAGGCAGAGATCTTGCCTCGTTCATCCTCATTTAACCACTGCCTCAAATAGAATCTGAAACATACTAGGTGCTCAGTGAATGTTTGGTTGAGTAAACAATGTACTTGGAAAATGCTAGAAACTCTGGGGTGCGTGGAAGAATTTAATGTTTATACCAGTTAATTCCCAATGGACAGGAGTCTAGAAGTACGTGGAGCAAGCTGCGAATGGCAGGGGACAGCAAGGCAGGCAGAATTAGTGAGAAATGAGGCTGGGAAAATGAGAGGATGTCAAGATTCTCAGTGCCAACAATACCAAGCTCCTCTGATTAACTTAGGGAGGAATGGTCTGTATTGAAGGGATACTGGTGACCTCCCAATCGGCAGGAAAGCTGAAGAACCAGCTTTGGAAAGCAGGCTGGAACCAAGGGAGGCCTGGCAGCAGGAAAACATGGCCAGACTCATGCCCCAGGGATGTGCAGCCAGGATGCTGCCACAGGTGCCTGCTGGCCCTAGGTTGGCACTGCCGCCTTCATGGAGAATAACTTCTCAACTCCTGTATCCTTGTGTCCCTGGAGATCCAAGGCCCCAGGCAGGAGCACACGACTAGTCGAGCCCAGTTCATATCCCCACACCCTGGCTCTCACAGGGTGGGGAGAGGGAGACTCTGGTCCCTGAGCCACTTTAGAGGGTGGTAGGGCCCTGTGGGGAGTACCCCAAATAGGAAAAGTGGTCAGATGTTAAGGAGGAAAAAAACCCAAACAGATCCACTAAAGAAAGGTTGAACTTACTGTCTGTTCTAACTAATGTTAGATTTTATCCAGAAGGAAGCTGAGCCAACAGAACTTCTCATGAAGAGTATGACATAATCCTCTTTGCTTTTTTGGACAAACTTTTAGGGCTGTGAAGAAACAGGGTGGAGTGGGGAAAGCTTGGTGGCAGGGAGGCCATTTGGAAAGCTGCTATCGTCATCTGGCCTAGAGATAATGACAGCCTGAATTAATTAGTGGCAGTGAGGAGAGAGGACCTAGATTCCAGAGAAAATCCTTGGATTTTTTGCACAGAGGCTAGATTTTTCTTGCTGAGTAAAACCCAGGGATGTGTTACTTCTGGGTTGGAAGGATATACGAGACGATTACATTTGCAAGTTTGGCTGTGAGGTGACATTACCTTGTGTTGCATTCATTTGCTCCCTTCTCGTTAGAATTTTTAGAATTATCTATTCTTGACAACCACCTAAAGATAAAATATTGATGCGCAGGGAAGTTTAATGGTGCCTAAATGAACTTAGTCATTTTAGAAGTCAATCATGATTTCCAATATATCCTCTTTTTCCTCATAAGCCTGTGAAGTTTACTATATTATGCCTCTTATTCTGAAGTTTTAATATTGTTTTATAATTAAGAGCTTGTAGTCCAGAAGCTGAGAGGCACAAATAAATTAATTATAATTAGTATGGATGTAATACTTCATTCCTGGATGCTAGATGGCACAATATTATTTCAGTCTTTTAATTGAAAAAGAAAGTTAGAGTGACATAAAATAATGATAGTGATCCATTTTAAAATGATTTCATTTATGTTTCCTGGATTCTTAAGAAATAGGGCAGGGCAAATTATGTACCTTGTTATATATATCAGGCAGCATTTTTACGTGTTGAAATGTATTCCATTAGATGTGCTCCACTCCCTGAGTGAATGCTACTGTGATGGAAACTAGGGTTTTCATTCTGGATGCCTCTTTGCAGGGCTAGACAAAGTCTCACAAATGTTAGTTGTCCCTACCAGAAAGGATGTCAATTGAAAACAAGATCTGGGGGCCTCTGGGAACATGAAGACATGACTGAAATAATTCAGAAACACAGCATCCTCTCTTCCCTCCGCCAGTACTGCGCCTCCTACGGATATAGTGGCCTTATTTTCCCACTCAGAAAGGCTGTGGTGTGGCTCTGGTTAGCTGATCTGTGCTGTCTCTGAAAATTCAGAACATATAGTAACCAAACCCTTGGTGCTCACATTAGATCTTTTCCCAAAATTACTCAGGAAAGAAAAGAATTCCCAGTCTGTTTCTTTTCCTAGAGGGACTAGTGTTCCTTTCCACACATAGTTTGCGATGTAGTGATATCTAGGCCATGTGTTCTCAGTCTTGCATGATAGGTTAATGTTACTCAAATCTTCACTACTGAAGGAGTCGAAAAAGTGTGTTATTTAGGTTGTAAAGACTTGCTATACTAAAATGAAACAAACTTCTTTAAGTCATTCTTTTCTTTTTTTTGAGGAAGATTAGCCCTGAGCTAACTACTGCCAATCCTCCTCTTCGTGCTGAGGAAGACTGGCCCTGAGCTAACATCCATGCCCATCTTCTCTACTTTATGTGTGGGACGCCTACCACAGCATGGCTTGCCAAGCAGTGCCATGTCCGCACCCAGGATCTGAACTGGCGAACCCCGGGCCACCGAAGCAGAATGTGTGCACTTAACCGCTGCACCACCGGGCCGGCCCCTAAGTCATTCTTTTAATTTTGCTGTTACATTATCTACTGTTTATGCTGTTGACATCTTATCCTGAAAGCATGATTCTGTTATATTTGTGGTCATTTTGAAAACTTTCTTCCAAGAGATTGACCTGCATTATTTTTTTCTCCTGAATTTTAATAGCATGATTTTGTCTTCCTGGACATTGCCATTGATTTTTATCCAATTGGAAGACTAATTTTTGAGGTAAGAGGGGTTTTTGGTGGTTGTTTTTTAATAATTTGGGAGGAGTGGGAATCTGTAACTGTCAGAATGTTAAATATTTAATCTCTGAAATCTTTAATCTTTATTTTCTAGCTGTACTGTGACGTATGTCCCAAAACATGTAAAAATTTTCAGGTCTTATGTACTGGAATAGCAGGATTTTCTCAAAGTGGCTTCAGGCTACATTATGCAGGTTCAATCTTTCATCGAATAGTACGAAATGGCTGGATACAAGGAGGAGGTGAGTTTAAATCTTAAATACAAGGGGCCACCCCGTGGCGTAGTGGTTAAGTTCATGCACTCTGCTTTGGTGGCTTGGGATTCGCAGGCCTGAATCCTGGCTGCAGACCTAGCACTGCTTGTCAAGCCACGCTGTGGTAGCATCCCACATAAAACAGAGGAAGATTGGCACAGATGTTAGCTCAGTGACAATCTTCCTCGCAAAAAAAATAATAAATAATAATAATAAAATCTTAAATACAACCCTAATTGCAACATCAAATCAGAACGTCCGAAGTTTTGTTTATCTGCCTTTATGAAATGCATATAGAATTAGATATATTTAATATTAGATGTTATATATATATATTTAAAGGATATTTTATATGGCCAAATGATGAATTAAGATATTCATACTCTTTTTAAATATTCTCTAATTATTAAAATAAACAAATCTAAAGTATGTTACCAGGAATATTCCAAATTAAAATGTGATATAAAAGTAGGATAACATTTTTTTAATCAAAATGTAGTTTTAAATACTCCCCTAAATGAATAAGAGTGCCCAGAAAATACAGTGCTTTTAAGAAACATACTGAAGGTGGGAATTTGAAAATAGAATAAATGGAAAACAACTTATTTCTCACCAAAGATGTTACATTGGTAGCACTGAAAATAAGATCTAAAGCATCCTGGTCTCCATTTTTGCTTTCTTTTCAGGTCAGTCCTTTGGCTTTACACAGACTAGTTGCCTGACCAACAGCACAAAGTTAAATTTTGGAGGCCTCTTGGGAGACATCCCATAGAGAGCAATCAGGCAGCAGTTTAAAAATAATTGGCTTAGTGTGGAAGGAGATTTGCTTGAACTTGATGAAATAAGCAATAATTTTTATTATTTCTCTACCATCTGGAACATTCTGAGGCTGATGAGGAGAAAAATATAGATTTAAGCCAAGCATTTTGTATGTAAGTCAGCATTTTTTCTCTCAGTTTCTCCAAAATGAGATCATATCAGCAATACTGCTATCTAACCTCATTATTTTTCCACTTAATATATATGGTATTTATCTTCCTATGTCAATGTATATAAACATATAAAGTTTTTAGGTTCTACCTAATTTCTCATCCTGTTGCTATATTGATTTAATTTATTTCCCATTAGGTGAACATTTAGATTGGTCCCAATTTTTTGTTAGTGTAAAACAATCCTCAAGGGGGCCAGTATCAGGGTCTCCTGATACTTAGTTCAGTGTTGACTCTTATATGCTGGGCTCCCAGACACTATGTTTTTTTTTTTGTTTTGTTCTTGGTTTTGGGTTAGACCTCCTCCCATCCCCCCATCCCTGCCCTGAGACCCAGAGCAAAATTTGGGAAAGTAGGTCATGTTATTTGTTTGTTTATTTGAAGTGAAATTTCCAAAGGGCAAAGTGCACAGATCTTGGGTCATGTTTTCAAATAGTGAGGCAGCAATGTTAAGGAAAATTTGGAAGAAAATTCTGATGATCACATTCAAATCCAAACTGATATGTGCAAGTCATACCATGTTGGATAAGGCACTTAGCATCTCTGAATCAGCTTCTTAATCATAAAATGGGGATAATTATAATATCACAGGATGTGGCGACGATTCAATGACATGGTATATTTATTGAAAGTACCAAGCTCTGTAAATGTTCTTCTCCCTTCAGATATCAGATGCCCACAGGGCTGCATGGAGAATTTTGGAGTGCAGGAGCTAAACGTGGTTTTGTGCTCTGCCTTAGGATGCTTCCAGGCACTATTGCTTGCCCTTTGGGATCAACAGGCCCTACACAGTCTTAACTCTTCCCCAGGCGCATCCCAGCTTCTGACATCTCCCTCTCACTCACTGTGCTCCACACACTGGCCTCCCGCTGTTCCTTAAGCACAGCAAGCATATGTGTGCCTTGAGGTCTTTTGTTGTTTCTTTTGCCTGGGACACACTCCACCCAGCTATTCCTCCAGACATCCCCTTGCTTCACCCCCTGATCTGTTTCTAGTTTTTACCCAGAGTTCATCTCAGCAAGGACTTACCTGACCACCCCACTGAAAACTGCCACCTTCCTCTCCACACACCTCTCCTCACCCCCCTCCCTGAGCTCTCCTATCCCTTCACCTGCTTTATTTTTCTTCCTAGCACTTGTCACCACTGGACACACTATTAATATTTAATATTAATTAGTTAATACTAATAGTATATTCTTTGTTAATTTGCTTACTGTCTGTCTCTCTTCACTAGAATATAAGTTCCATGAGGGCAGAGGGTTTTATCTATTTTGTTCACTGTTGCATCCCCAGGATCGAGAACAGTGCCTGGCACATAGTAGATGCTTAAAAAGTATTTGTTAAACGAATGAATCAGTGAATAAATGAACAGATAGCTCAACAGGAAACATACATTCTATTCACTTCTAAATTACAAAATTAAAGAAGATAGTAAGTCATTAAGCCACTTTGGCAGGATTCTCTCTCTGTGGTGCCCGCAGGGCCTACTGCCTTCAGAACAATCTCTTGAGATATAGTTGCATACATTTTATCATCATCATCAAAATCATATTGAGCATGATGATGGCAACGAGAGGATGCACTCTATAAGCCCGTGATGCTGCACAGTAATCACAGGCACTAATGAATGAGCAATGACACTGCCAGGCACCACAGTAAGCTCTACCTACCTGATTTCATTTAATCCTCAGAACTACCTGGGAGGCCCTCACCATCATCCTTGTCTATACAGGTGAGGAAACAGGCTTGGAAAAGGTAACTGACATGGAGATTTAAATCAAAATCATCTGACTTGAAAGTTTCCTTTAAATCACTAGTCTGCATTGCTGAATCTGTTGTCAGAAGTATAGAAATAATATCAGATATACAAGGCTGAATTCAAGGGTGTAGGTTATGGCCCCAAAAAAGTATTAAATACTGATTGAAATGGTATGGATGTATGATATTCAGCTAAGCGATGTGAAGCAAAGGGCAAGAGTAATGATGGCGTTGGAGAGACAGGGCAAAGGAGAGCCACGGGTGGTTAAGTGTTAGTAGGGGAGGGGACCACCTGGGCAGATTTGCCTGAGCAAAGCAGACGTTAAGATCTGAAGGAATTGGTGCTGGGGGACCCTCAACTTCCCCAAGCCCAGATTTCAGCTTCAGCCATTGCAGCATGCTCCTGAGAGCTGCCGAGGGCTCTGGGTGAATCATGGAGGAGGACCAGGGAGGAGGGTTGGTGACTTGAGGTTTATCAATTAGCTTTTGAACCAGCTTTGTGAGTAGTATAATGTAAGTGCCACACGCCCTGTCCTGTATAAACTCTCTCCACATGCTTGTGGTTGCATCAGATTTCTTTAAAATAGCACACCTTTCCTATAGATAAATCGCTCATACTGAGTTAAAAAGGCACAGTCCTTTAACAGATATTTATTGCACACTGTTCCAGGAGGGTGGACTAGATGGCTGAAGAAGTAAAGTAGTACTGATGGGGACGCTGGGGGGACAGTGGACCTCAGACGCCTCTATTTTCACTAGAGTTAGTTTTGCTTCCCTTTTAGCTGTGGATAGATTAAAAAAAAATAACGCACGTGGAGAATTTTTATAGAGGGAGCATTGCCTAAGTCAAAAATATGCATATAATGCAATAACAAAATAGGTCATATAAATACCTTTTAAAAAACCTTCATTACATTACAAAGGAACTTCATTTCCAAAATACTGGATAAATAAAGAGTTATCACTATAGGGTTCCAAGGAACGAAAATTTGAACATTAAGTCTTTTTAGAGCATTTATTTTTATTCTCGTTCTAAAAAGATCTTACTGTTCCTATTTCATCCTCTCTGCTTAATCTTTCCATTTTTCTAAAAGCAAGATGGACTATGGAATAACTTGTGAAGTAAGCAGAATTCATATGAACACATTTTTAAAAATTGTGACCACCATTATACTTTAATACTTCATCATTTCAAAGTTTTGCATTATAATTTTAATCTACCTCCAAGAGTTATTAGGGAAAAAAATAGGATCATGAATGTAAAAATGTTTACAAAATACAAGTGAAAACATTATAGTAATATTTTCATGGTATAGATATTGAACAGTTAGGTGATTTACTCTAGTCATTGGTATAAGGGGAATCATAATTTATAACATTTCTTCCCCTGCCGTTATTATACTCTCCTTTTTGGTCTCAGAATTCTAATGTTTATTTACTGTTATTTCTCAGATATAGTAGCTGGAAAAGGAGATGGTGGAGAGTCCATTTATGGACCAACATTTGAAGGTATGTATCTTAGGTAACACCCTACAAGTACACATACTAAAAGTGGGAGTCAAAAATGAGGTGTGGGGCTGGGGGGGCCCCGTGGCCGAGTGGTTAAGTTCACATGCTCCACTTCAGCAGCCCAGTTTTGCCAGTTTGGATCCTGGGCACAGACCTAGCCCCGCTCATCAGGCCATGCTGAGGCAGCGTTCCACATAGCACAACCAGAAGGACCTACAACTAGAATATACAACTATGTACTGGGGGGCTTTGGGGAGAAGACGAAAAAAAATGGGGAACAGGGGGAGGCACCCCAGTCCAGTACAGAACAGCTTTGTACACACATTTTTTACTTGCCTAATTATTTTATTTCTGTAGGATAAATTCCTAGAATAAGGATTGTAGGGTCAAAGGGAATTGATATTTTTAAGGCTTGTCATTTGCCATTCTCATACTTAGAATTGGTATCTTGATAATCATCTTATTAAGACTGCTATCAGGATGCTGGGAAGATGGTAGTGGCGGTGACGTAGTTTTTTAACTTTTTAAAATCCCAACATAAAAACAGACAAAAGAATTAGATAGAAAAACTAAAAACCCATGGATAACATTTACAATAAAACTAGGTGACAAGGTATCTACATGAATTCCAAGGTATAAACAGATGAGGACAAACTACCAACATCCAGGAGATCTGCATGGCGTCAGCGTCTGAGCCGGAGAAAGCAGGGCCTCTGGGGGACCTGAGAATAGTAGAACCCCAGAATAGCCAATACTGGGTGAGTGCAGGGGCCCAAGTGAGGTTTGTAGAGGCTGGAGCAGTCTGACCTCTGTGAACTCAAAACTGATCTGAAAGCGCTCTCTTCCAGGACAGGCCCGCTGAGAAGGAATTGCTGGCAATGGAATCAAAATTAGGCAGGATATAGGGATGACAGTGATAAAGAAGGAATGGGAACAGAGCCAGGAAATGTCAGAAAGCAAGCTGCCATACTGGTGAACACTACATGAAAACGGCACAAGAGGGGGCTGTGTGACCTTAGAAAAGCTGCCTTCCTTCTAAAGCCACACTTCCTCCTAAACATTCAGGAAAACTAATTTTTACATAAAAATAAGCAGCAAAATGTTTCGTGGTCGTTAGAAGAAGAAATAGAATATGGAGCAGAATAACATCACTCCAGACAGTGAAAGCACACTAGAAAGACAGGCTCACAGAACAGACGGAAACTGAGGATTTCACAACGGGCTTAAAGACGGTAAGAAAATGATAAGACATTTTGATACAAGATAGAGAATTCCTAAATCAGAATTAGAAAAACTTAGACATGAGGTTACAGAACTAAGGAAAAAATTAACAATAAAAGAAAATTTCAGAAATGAACAACTAGAAAGAACACAAGACCAAATAAATACAATAGATATATGTCTTTAAAAAAGTAGAGGGTAGAGAGAGGAAATTTTTAAAAACCAAAAATAAGATAAAAAAGATAAAAAAAGATAAAAAAGATTTACAAGAAAGTGGCAAATTTTAAAGATATAAAGACAAGATCCAACATATGGATGATAAGTGTTCCTAAGGAATCAAATGAATGCAAAGGAATGGAACAAATACTAAGAACTATAATTGAGAAAAACTTTCCTAAAATAAAAAAGGATTTGATATTCTATATTTTATTTTCAGTTAACATAACTGTACACAGTTGTCAGAATGTATCGAACTGAATCTCTAGGATATATGCATTTTAATTGTATGTTTATACTTCAAGTAACAATGTATGTATAAAAACTTGAAACTGCTTGTTGAGAGACCACACTGCTGACAATACTGAACCAGAACAACTAACACCAAGACGTATTTTAGTAACATTACTGGACATTAAAGAAAAAGAAAAAATTCTTTGGGTAGCTAGGCAAAAAGAGCAAGTGATTTATAAAGGAAAGAAAAGTAGATTATCATCATATTCTTGTGCCAGGAAAAAAAGGAGTAATATATTTATGATGCTCAAGGAAAGGAAATGTGAGATTTTGTATCCAGCCAAACCGAATCTGAATTATAAAGGGCACACAGAGTTATCAACATGTGAAGCTTCACGGAATAGCGTTGCCACAAGCCCTTCCTGAGCAATCAGCTGTAGAATGAGCTTCACACAAACACATTACAAAAGAGACCTTGACGTAAGGGCTGGGGGTGTTAATCATATAGTGACTTGTCAAACTAAAATTTAATGAGGATTAAAAAGATGAAAGTATGATATATAATGATTATATATAAGCTTAGTCTAACTATTTTAAAAGTGAGTTTAAAAAACTTTTAAAAACTATTTAAAAAATTTTTTTAAATGGGGAGAATATGTACAAAAAATTTTTAAACTATTTCCAATAATTATACTGGTGATGGCATTATTAATATTGTTATTCTGAGATTTGTATATGTAATATTGGAAAAAGTAAGTAAGTGTGGAATATTCTCATTTCATCATTTCCTGTGTCCTTGAGAATCAGGATTTTTTTTTTTTTGAGGAAGATTAGCCCTGAGCTAACTACTGCCAATGCTCCTCTTTTTGCTTAGGAACACTGGCCCTGAGCTAACATTCATGCCCATCTTCCTCCACTTTATACATGGGATGCCTACCACAGCATGGCTTGCCAAGCGGTACCATGTCCGCACCTGGGATCCAAACAAGCAGTCCCTGGGCTGCCGAAGTGGAACGTGCGCACTTGACCGCTGTGCCACCAGGCCGGCCCCCGAGAATCATGATTTTTAATGTGGAATAAAGGAGATACACATGAAATATGATAGAGGCTAATAAGTACAATATCCCATAGCCCTGAATTCAAAATACTTTAAACTCAAGAAATATCATATCTATATATATATATAGCTTCATCCACTGAATTGCTCTACAAACAACAACCAACCCAGTAGTGATATACATCCCTAGCTTTAGATTGTTGTTTTGAAATGTCGTTTCTCACTTAAAGAAACAAGGCTTCTGCGAAAAACGGCAGATTCCAGTTCTGGGACAGGAAATTACAAAATGAGCCTGGAACCCCATATGTAGTCATGCTATCATCAGCCAGCCAAGAGCCCTATAAAAGATATACTAGGGTCATGTCAAAGGCCTCAGGAGCCAATTTTAAGAGGCTCTCACCAGCCAAAGATAGAGTAATTTGAGTAGTAATTGCAGTTGACTGAAACCCAACAAATATTTTAAATCCATGAGTTTATGATATTACATTATAAAATAAAGCCTAATTGCTTATGTTTGGGGAAATGAGAGGAAACAAATTAATCATCTTGAAAACTGATAAATATAGGGAAAGAATCAAGCATTTATCTTGCCTTTCCTATATCGACTGTACCAACTTGTAGATAAGGGGAAACATCTCATTATAAAAGTATTCCAATTAATAATGAAAAGGAAAAAACAGAATTAGAATATCACCATTATGCTGCCCCCAGTGAAATAATGGATCCAGACATTTGCTGCATCGGTATCTGCTAACTGCTCAAAACAGAGACAACCAGACATTAAGAGCCTTCTGTTGAAAGAACACGTTACCAAAGGGAGAGAAACGAGTCTGATTACGCCTCTGGACCCAGCTGCCAATTTGCAAGAAATACAACCAGTTCTGCTATAATGTGGTCTTAAAGACCTCTGCACTATATGAAGTCATGCAATAAAAACCACAGGACTTATGGCAAAAATGAGATGAAAAAACTTCCTCATTGATTAAGATAGTAACCTAATAAAAACAGTAATGCAGTTTTATATATATTACATATATGGTCAAGAAGCATATAAATACTATAATAAATAAGGCACTTGACCTTGAAAACTCCCAGACGTTTGTGGAGGTGGCGTGGGAAGAGTTGCAGCTGGTGAGTGATTTGAAGGTCACAGAAGGAGGCTTCTCTTAAATTGGAGGCAAGTTGTAACAGCAGATGTGGGTGAATGTGGTCCATAAGCGGAGACCTGAGGTAGCTGGTAGATGCCTGAGGTCAGCTCAGCTCAGCTGGGTGCAGCTTTCTACATCACCTGGTGTTTCTCCTGGAGGAAACTGCACATAAGCAGGGATGAAATTCATTATGTTCAAGTCGTTCCCAAACATATCAATCAAGGTGAAACAAATTTGCATTTTCACGGGAGTATTGGAGCAGAACTGACAGGAAAGAGAACAGAGAAACATTGAACTGCACCATGTGTGTGCAATCCCCAAATCCAGGCTAGGAGAAATTCTAGAGGTTAAATAGCTCAGGTTCATTAACAGATAAAGTGTAGAGAAAAGAAAGGGACAGAGGTAGAACTGTAGATTAAAAGAGATTTAAAAGGCCTAACAAGTCTTAAAATGGGAAGACTAAGCTCCAGTGCCTGGGGCTGCACACTCGGATGGGAAAGCTGTCAGGAAACATTAGGTCCGGGACTTTGCAAAAGTCAGGGGAATGGCTACTTTTGGGGCGGGGGGGGGGGGGGGGGGGACTGGACAAGGGACTTCAGGGGAGGCTGACCAAGTTCTTTTTCTTGGCCTGAGTGGTGGTTAAAAGGATGTTTGCCTTATAATAACTCTTTAACTATACATTAGTTTTCTGTGGCTTTTGGTGTCTTTAATACAATGAAAAGGTTACAAAAAAAAAACCCATCATATTGAACCAATGGTCAGAGTCAAGGGGAAAAAAGTAAAAGGTGGTTTCCTTCTAAATTCATGTGGAGATAGCTTTATCAAATGAAATCATGCAAGTGGCACCATTCATTTATTTATTCATAACACGTTAAACTCCTACGTGGTGCCAGGACCTTAGGAAAGAAAGATGATGTGACAAAGTTTCTACCCTCAAGGATGCAGACAAGTGTTTAAACAGATAAGCTACGGGCACTGCACCCATTGCTGCCACAGAGGAAGAACTGAGTGCTGTGGGCGAAGAAAGAACCACTGCCTGGGAGAGCTGGGGGCAGGGACCCAGAGCAACTTTTGAGTTGTCTTTTTTGTTTTTTGTTTTTTGTTTTTTGCTTTTTTTGCTTTTTCTCTCCAAATCCTCCCAGTACATAGTTGTCAGTTTTAGTTGTGGGTCCTTCTAGTTGTGGCATGTGGGACGCTGCCCCAACATGGCCTGATGAGCAGTGCCATGTCTGCACTCAGGATCCAAACCAGCGAAACCCTGGGCTGCCGAAGGGGAGCACGTGAACTTAACCACTTGGCCACGGGGCCGGCCCCTGAGTTGAGTCTTAAAGTAAGACACTGCAGACGAGGAAAGGACGTTCTTGGGAGCTTTCCTGGCATCCTGAATCCCTAATGAGAATCCACTGTGCCTCTCCACCCCACGGCGATTATCAGATCACCCACACTCTCTGTGCTTGGAGGCGCCCTCTCAGACAGGACTGATCTCCCATCTCCTCTCTCGCCGGCCCCTCTGGACATCCCGGTGCCTCTGTTGAGTATCCTTTGCTCCCATCCTTAGACTGTTGTGGGGCTTTAGTCTCCACATGGAGGTCTGGCTGGCCTCTGGTGCCTAGGCAGGCCCAGTGTGTTCAGGGAAGACTATTACTCACTTTCTCTGCCAGTGCAGAATTAGAAATTCAGTAATCAATCAAGTGACAAGCAGAGATGCTCTAGAAGGAAAGATGAGTAACTGAAAGAGAGAGAGCATGGCTAATACTCAAAACAGCTCCGGCACGGTGTCCACCCTCCTGTCCCCCGCTCTGTGGAATGTTAATACGTCAGCCAGCCAGTCCTTCCTCCGCATTTCTCTCCTTGAATTCTCTTTCCATGAGATGCAGAATGAAAACCCAGGGCTCGTTACAAACCACCACCACCACCAAACTCACTTTTATTAAGCTTAACACAGTGAATTAAAAAGAATGAAATAAATTATATATATTTTAATTAGTTGATTGTTTTGTAAGATGGTTAATCATTTTTTTTTAACTTGAGGCGTCTGTTTTGCTTTGTTTTGAATCACAACTTTTAAAAAATTTTCTTCCCAAGTCCTAATTTGAATGTTAAAAGCTGAATATTATTTAAATATGATGACAAAATTAGAGCAGTAGGTTTAAAAAATTGGTATTGCAGGATTCAGGTCATATGTCCGCTTGATTTAACTGTCCTTAGAAAATTATATGGAAATACCCCAAACTGTCTGATTCTACTTTTACCAGAAAGAATGCAAGTGTGCCTAGACTTGTAATAGTTGCTTCCATTATAACCATCAGAATGAGCTTTATTTTGAATAAATTCAGAAACTGATTTTCTTCAGCACATAAATTCTGATTTCTATTTCAAACAGTTACATTTCCCCCTTAATGTTGTATGTTACAAATGGGGCAGTTTTAACCACGGAGCAGGAAATATCTTACTGTAAGTGGCAGACGCAGGCAGATCTCCTGAGTCACAGTGTCATGAGAGGTAGCCTTTAGACTTCCTTCGCTTCCCTTTACCCTTTATTGAGAGTCCACGTCTCCGTTCCCATGACCTACAATAAAATTTTTACTAATTATGCTGATTTAGTCACCACTCACATTTTTTTCGGGGGGGGGGATTGGCACCCGAGCTAACAACTGTTGCCAATCTTCTTCTTTTTTTTTCTTCACTTTTTTCTCCCCAAATCCCCCCAGTACACAGTTGTATATTTTAGCTGTGGGTCCTTCTAGTTGTGACATGTGGGACGCCACCTCAACATGGCCTAACAAATGGTGTCATGTGTGCGCCCAGGATCTGAATCCTGGGCCCCGAAGCTTAACCCGTGGACTTAACCACTCGGCCACGGGGCCAGCCCACAAATTTTTTTTTTAATTTTTCTAATTTTGTCCAGCAATAAAATTTTTTCCGTTCCTCCTCCTTCAAAACATTTTTTTTGTAGATTGTTTAAAGTTTTATCAGGGCTCCTGATAAAATGAAAATAATCTATCATAGTTAATCATCCCATTCAAATACTATGGGGGAAAAAGGAAAAACGGTTATTGATTTAAGGGTCTGTTTTTTTTCTTGTCTTCAAAAAAGAAGACAAGAGACTATGTGAGACTAAATTTAAATTTTTATATAACTCAAAAGTGTTAAGGTTCAGTCCTTAGACCACCACTTGGAACACAGTCGGCATTCAATAAATATTTGTTGAATGAACAAATGTTGAATTAAATCTGGGATTTTCACTCTCCTTTTCTTTTTTTTCTTTTTAAATATTGGCACCTGAGCTAACAACTTACCAATCTTCTTTTCTTTTTTTCTCCCCAAATCCCCCCAGTACATAGTTATATATTTTAGTTGTGGGTCCTTCTAGTTGTGGTATGTGGGACGCCGCCTCAGCGTGGCCTGACGAGTGGTGCCATGTCTGCACCCAGGATATGAACTGGTGAAACCCTGGGCCGCCAAAGCAGAGCACTCGAACTTAACCATTTGGCCACCGGGCTGGCCCCATCATTCTCCATTTTAATATGGTTACTTGCAGAAAAATACTTCTCTATTAGTGTAAATATACTCTTAGGATAGCCATTTTTCAGTAAAACTGCTCTAAAGAAAAAAATTTATTTTGAACTCTCTTGTGCCACTGGCTCCCATCTTTAAGTGGGTAATATGCTTGGCATGACTAGGGGTCCACTTCATTCTCTAAGTGAGCTGGTGAAGTCCTAGCTGCAGCTCATGTCAAGTTTACATGGGAAGGGTCACCACCATAGCTTGGTATTCCGGGCAAAGGCCCCACCAGTAACTCTGGAGAGAACTGGAAGGGGAGGGATGGCTGAGCCCCACCCCTCCGCCCAATGGGATGCCGCCAGGGGCGCGGGCAGGTTGAATTCCACCCAAGGGCTTTACCTGGTTGTGGCACAGTCACCCAGTGGTTTCCCTGTATTCTGCCAGCACTGCCCTGGAGCAGCGCAGCCTCAGGTCCTTAAGTGCCACGTCAACATTCTGTACTTAAAGAATCGACAACGTAGGCATTTATTTTTCACACATTTCTTTTAGGTCAACGAATTTTAAATTTGTCAGGGACTACCTATACCTTTTAAAAACATTCTTTATGTCTGTCCCTTTATAAAAGCAGCAGTTTTCAGACTGGCCTCTAAGGAGGTCCACGGGGTGCCAAAGAGGCATCCGCAGGAGATGAGGACTCTAGGCCATTGTATCTGTTTTATACATGGGCTTTCCCAAAGGTAGCATCTTTAAAATAGCTATTATGATTAACTGCTTTAAAAGTTCTCCCATAATCAGAGAATTTTTAGTAAAAATGTTACAACTCTATGAATTTTCTTTCCTATTACTTAGAGAATTTAAGAAAAATTAATCATAATATCTAAGAGCAAAGACAAATACCATTTTGTTAAAACTCTGAATCTTTGCTTTGGGCAGATTTCTATTCCATGCGATTTTCAGTGAAATTAATGGGTTATTTCTCTATTCTACTGAAATGAATATGGAGCAGCAATGTAATTATAGAGACTTATTTGCACAAAAATGCTTTATTTGCATTTCATAAGATTTCAGAGGTCTTTATTCAGTTTGCAGTTTAACAAGCTAAAAGTAACCACCACAGATATGGCTTAATTGTTTAATTGGCTTAGCTTTGAAACTTAAAATAAGAATACTCAGCAACTGCAGTTTAAGAAAATCTTATTGACAGTTAATATTCATATCTCAGTTACTCCCAGAATTTTAGAAAGTTATTGAATGAAAACTTTTACTGAATTTCTCTTCCCTCTGTGCTTTTGAATTTGGAGGCAGATCTGATTCCATGCTGGAAAGAATACTTCCTGAAAATGGGAGCCTGATAAGCACCATACAATTCTTTGCACTTGTTAACCTTACACTAAAAAAACCCACTTTCCATAAAATCTTGGTCAATCCATATAAAGTTTGAGATTAAAATTTATGTAAAGACTACTAAAAAACAAGCATAAATTAATTTCCTTTTACCATTAACATTTAAGGCCACACATATGCCAGGTCATGTGCTCAAAGGCCCTGGGGTAAAGCTAGAATGAGACAGGGTCCCTGCCTTCACCTGCTAGAGAGGAAAGAATTACACAGAGCCTTATGAAGACTCCAGTAGAGGTCTATACAAGATGCTGTGAGGGGAAGGGTCATGTCCATGAGAGCCTTCTCAAAGAAGGCATTTCTAACGATCACATTGGTAGTTTGAATGAAATCCTACTCCAAAACAGCACGAGAAAGTTTGCTGACCTTTAGTCCTAAGCAAAGTATGTGCTTCCTTTTACATTATTGAAGTACTTCCTTGTACATCATTAATTTTCTTAGCACACTTGGTTTTAGCTATGGTAATAATAAACTAAAGGTAAATGCTCAAATAGTTCTAAGACTTTACTGATTATCTTTTTTAACAGCCCACTTGAGTGAAAGCAATATGAAACAAATAGAATATTTACAATTTGGAATGTATTGATAAATATAATTGAGAACCCTTGTTGTCAAGGGTTCTGCTTGTGCTTTATGTGTTACAATAAATGGACATAATAGAAATATTTTAATGACCTACTGTTTATTGTCTTTTCTAGATGAAAACTTTACAATTCCTCATAATAAAAGGGGAGTTCTTGGAATGGTCAACAAAGGCCGTCACAGCAATGGGTCACAATTCTACATCACACTACAACCAACTCCCTATCTAGATAGAAAATATGTGGCTTTTGGGTATGTGCACTTTAAGTTTGTCTATATAATATTCATATATGTAAAAATGTGGTTCAAAAAGATTTGGATAAGTATTGTACATAGTTTATGGGTAACTCAAGATAGAATTCAAAAGCAAAAGTAATTCAAACAAAGACAAACATTTTTAGAAATAAGTATTTTTTAAGAAGCTTGCCATCTATAAAAAAACACAGAAACCATCTAGGCCATTATAATGTTTTGTCTTTCCATCCATCCATCCTTCTATCTTCAGCCTCAGGGATATTATCAATTCTTAATTACTATGAATAATACTATAGCTTAATAATGTATATATCTTTAGACGCAGAAGTGAGGCAAAGTTATTTAAGTAATTGTCCATGAACATTGTGAAGAGACAGATAAAAACTATGCAAGTTACAAGTAATTTTTTTTTTTTACTGAACAATTTAAAATATGGAAATATCTCAGGTAATTATTATTAGCATGTGGGCCTAAAATGGATGATGAATATACTTTTCACCACTCCAGTGTTTCATATCTCTACTTAATTACTGAAGTGAATATAAGTTGAAGCTTACTTTGTCTCCTCTGAAATGATGTAAAGTGTTAGAACTTCTCTGCATAAGTATTAGAATATTCCAGCTACTCCATAGGGATAATTATTGACTCTTCATCCCATGAAGAAATTTCATGCCAGTGTTAATTTTAACCATAATTATTCCTTCAGTGTAATGCAGGTGATATTTCCAGGTTGAAAAAACAGAAATTATATGTTCATCCGAAGGATATTTCTTTAAAGAGATGATTTTGTGTTAATAGATGCATAATCTAAAATAATGTGTTATCTCCCATTTTCCCTGGTCCTAATAAGCTGTATTCTGATTTTGAAAATGCCTTCTTCAATTATTTTTAAATCCAAATAACCCTCACAGTTTCCTTTCTATCTTTCCAAAAGGTCCCTTTTGCAAACACAGACATGACGACTTTAACACATTTAATGCCTCCTTCACCACCTCCACCCAGATGCAGAGCCTGAAGTCAGAATGGCATTCCAGGTCCTTCACTGTCTGGCCCATCTTTTTTCAGCCTTCACTTCTGCTAGCCTCTTAACTCATTCATTCAACCTGCATTTTATTAGGCACCTACTATATGCCAGTCATGGTGCTCAGTCCTGGGAAGAGTGATGAGGCACAATTCCTGCCCTTTAGGGAGCATATAGTGATTAGAAAACCAACAACTGTAAGACAGTGAGACGTGGGCTATGCAAGTTCTGTGAAGAGTGTGTTGGGAATAGAGAGAGGGGAGGACAACACCCTCCACCTCCTTCAGTAACAGTGAACGCAGATCCTTACACTGCAGTGGTGGAGGGAGGAGCACTTGGTCCCCTTTTGAGGACTGCTATTTTCCATGTGATTCACCTTCCTCCAGGGGACTCTCTCACCATTTTGTTGTCACCACCACACTGGCCTTAGGGAGGCGCTGCACCTCTTACTGTTCTAGCCCAAGTATGATCTCAATTTCTCTCTTAAATCTCCAAATCACAGCTGAGTCTGGGCTGAAATATTGAAACAAGACCTTACAGAACACTAGGGGAGAGGCAGAAAGGTAATACCATAATAGGTAACTAGATCATCTGACCAAATGTAAACTAACTCCTCCAGGGACGCCTTCCTTCCCGGCTGTAGGGCTGCCTCTAGTGGAAGATGCTTTCTCTTCCCTCTCATCTCCGAGCATCTCCAGGTTTATCTGAGCTTCTGAAAGCCCAAACATGGTTAGCAGGGTCTAGAGAGATACAAAAATTTCCTCTCATCTGAGACAGACCCTCCTTCCCAGCTCTAGTTTCCGATCTATGAACTTGCCCCTTTTTCAGATGGATGACATGGGAATGCCCTTCAGGGGAGACTGCATCGACCCACAGTCTTGTTGATGGCCTTGCTCAGTGGTTTCATAGGGAAAGAACATCAAAATATAAGCCATACAATCTCCATTCATATATACATAGGCACAAGGGGTATATGTTGGGGATAGTGGTGGAGGAAATTAATTTCATTATAAGGGACCCCTAAAGAGGTGAGGGGTCTTGGAAAACTTCATGAAAAGGTGAGATGAAAGTCAAGTAGAAGTTAGCAGGCTAGAGAAGGCTGGAAATGAAAATGAGTAAAGTAAATTTTAGGAAGAGTGAAGAGCCTTTGCAGAGAGGCCCTAAAGAGTAAGAAGAGTGGGGCGGGCCCCGTGGCCGAGTCGGTAAGTTCGCAGGCTCTGCTTTGGCGGCCCAGGGATTCGCCAGTTCGGATCCTGGGTGCAGACCTAGCACCACTCATCAAGCCATGCTGAGCTGGCATCCCACATAGCAGAACTAAAAGGACCTACAGCTAGAATATACAGCTATGTACCCCGGGGGCTTTGGGGAGAAGAAGGAGAAAAAAAGACTAAGAAGAGCATCTTATCTGTAAGTCATTTGGTCTGGCTAGAGCTTAGTGCCCAGGGAAGACTGGAGAGAATGAGGCTGGAGAAGAAGAGCTGGCCAGGGCTCAGGGCCCAAAGGGCTGTGGGTGCCATGCTGCTGAGCGTGGACCCCCAACCCAAAGGGAATGGGAAGCCATGGAAGAACTTTAAATTGGGAGCAACATGACTAGGTTCTCACTCTGAAAAAATCTCTTTTTAGCAGAAGCTAGGACTGAATTGACAAAGGATGAAAATGAAGGTGGAAAGGCCAGTTAACAAGTGATGGTAATAGTAGGCTATAAATGAAGTCCTGGTCTAAGGCACTAGCAGTACAGATGAGCAGGGGCTAAAGGGACAAATTCAAGAGATATTTGGAAGTTAGATTCAACAGGATTTTATAACTATTTAGATGCTGGTGGTGAGGTCATGGGAAGAGTCGAGAGCAGTGGCATCTAATAGAACTTTCCACAGTTATGGAAATATAATCTGTGCTACCCACGGTGATAGCCACTAGCCACATGTGGCCATTGAGCACTTGAAATGTGGCTAGTGCAACTGAGGAACTGAATTTTATTTAATTTTAATTAAATTTAAATAGCCATATGTGACTAGTGACTACTACCTTGGGCAGTGAAAGTCTAAAGAAGCTCCTAGATTTTGCAACTGGTTGGATGGTTGATGCTATTCACCAAGACAGAGAATACAAAAAGGAGGATATAGGAGACCTTATGAGTTCATGATGGGCAAGTTATATTTCATATTAAGATTAATGTGTTCAGTGGGTATGTCCCAGGCATCGTGCTAGGCACTGAGCACTGAGCACAAGCATGACCCCTGCCCTCATGGGAGAATCCAAAATCAATCAAAGCAGCATACAAATAAAAGTCAAATTTAACCCTAACTCCAATAAAGGAGAGGGGGAACCTGACATAAGCAGTGGGGTCTGTGAAACTTCCCTGAGGAAGTGATGACTGAGCTAAGATCTGAAGGAAGTCCAGGAGGCTCCCAGGCCAAGGGGTAGTGGCCGGCAAGAGCAAAGGAGACAGAGACAGCTGTGGCAGGCAGGGCATATGGGGCCTCTCAGGTACTGAAAGCCAGGCTGGCTGGAGCAGAGCAAGCAAGGGGAGCATGCTGCAGGACAGCCCTGGAGGGGAGTGGGGAAGCCCGCCGTGATAGGTCATTAGAGATTTTTGGTCTTTATCATAAGGATAATAGGGAAATTATTGAAGTGTTTAAGCAGGGAAGTGACATCAGATTTGCATTTTTAAAAGATCTCTCTGCTATCAGGATAACAGATTGGAAGGGTCCCAGGGCAGACGTGGGGGAAGCATGACAAAGGACACCGCTAGATATTTAAGATATTTATGACTGATGTTAATTTAATTTGTAGGAAATAGCCTCAGCTAAGCTAGGTAGGAATCAATTTAGAAATGTAAGCTAGATGTGAACATTTATGACTCTCTAAATTTTCCATTTTTTCTCCTATATAGGCAATTGATTGAAGGAACAGAAGTTCTTCAACAACTGGAATTGGTTCCAACAGAGAATGAAAGACCAACACAACAATGTATAATTATTGACAGTGGAGATCTGTATACCTGATTTTCACATGAATATTTTCTGACAATTTATTATTACGTGTCTGATCAGCTGTTTCTAGATTTAATTAAACAACGCTTGATAAAAATTAGTTTGAAAACTGTGGCAGATGCTGTAGGTTGGCTCACGCAACACCCAATCCCTCCCCGTTTTCCTTTCTTGCCTCTGCTATAGAGACTATAAAAGCAAAATACTCAATTTCCCAGCCTCTTTTGCAGCCAGGAATGACCAGAGGATACCCCTCTGGCCAGTGAGACAGGAGAAGAATGCCAGTGGTCCTGTCCCTTCCCCTTCGTGCAATCTTGAATGCAGAGGCTACAGCCATGAAGGAAAGGCCAAGATAACTGCAGGCATGTCAGCACCAACCTGAGCTGCAGAACCAATACCAGCACCCACCGTCTGTCTCCGGCCTTCTTACTGTATGAGACAAACAGACCCCTGTTTATGTTACTGTTGGTTGAGTATTTTGTTACCTGTAGCCAAAACCATTCTTAATTTAGCTGCAGTACCTAATGGCCTTTGAATCTTAAAACGTTTGTAATAGAATTTATGTTGTTGTTTGTAATTACATTTCTGCCATGAGAAACGTGGTAAATAACCAAATAGGAGAGAAGCAACAGAAGAAAATTCATTGTAAGATTTCATTGTTTATATGTAGCATTCAAAAAAGGGTATATAGTCAAGTGCTTAAGGATGGGGCTATGTTCTGAGAAATGCATGATTAGGTGATTTTGTCACTGTGTGAACACCATAGCGTGCACTTACACAAACCTAGATGGTATAGTCTGCTACAGACCTAGGCTGTGGTACTGATCTTACGGGACCACCATCGCATATGGGGTCTGTCGTTGACTGAAACATCGTTATGGGTGCATGACTGTACACTTTGGATGTTTTTCTGTGACAGGAATAGAATGCTTGTCTCTGATTCATACCAACCATATGAAAACCAATGGCTTGGGTTTCAGTCCCCATGGTGGCTGACTCCTGAGAGGTTATTGGGATCCAGCTTTATCAGCTGCTCCTTAATCTGAGCTTCTCAAACCCATGTCACCTGGGGAACTTTTAAAACAGACTGCTGGATCCCGTCTTTGACCCACTCAGAGTCTCTGGACAGGGATTCTGTGCATCCCTTTAGCTCTCTACCCAGAGGTTCTTCTAGCTTGTAATTAGCCAGCTGGGCACTAGTCACGGGAATCATGCGAGACATAAGTGAGTGGTTTCAGCCCCCTTTGTGTAGTCAGTGAAGTGCTTGACTCTGTTAGTGGTGACCTTGCTCAGCTGCTGCTGCCACCACAGCCACGGCGCAGCTCCTGCTCTGCCCAGAGCCACTGAGCCACTACAGTTTTCTTGCCCTCAGTGGAAGATTTGTCTTCCAAGAAGGATCTCTCCTTGAGCCAGTCTCAAAGAGACAGGCCTCTAGTTGACTTGGGGCTTGCCAAAGGTAGGCATATGCTTATTTCACTTTTTATTTTGAAATGATTATAGATTCACAGGAAGTTGTAAAAACAGTAGCGTGATTCTGTATACCAATCACCCAGATTGCCCAAAGGGCACAACTTACACAACTACAGTACATTATCAAAACCAGGCAGTTGACATCAGTACAATGTGTGTGTTGCCCTTTTATATGTAGATTCACGCGACTGACACCGCAATCAACACAGAACATTTTCAGGGCCACAGAGACCTCCCGCACGCTATCGTTTATAGTCACACCTACTCCTCTGCTCCCCACCATCCCTAACTCCTGAAAACCAGGATATAGTGTTTTGTGTTTTTGTTTTTTTTGAATAACAGCTTCATTGCTATATGGCATATGGTTTTATCCTCAGATCTGAGGTGGCTGGGGAGAAAGCATACTTCCTGTGTCACATTCTCAACTGACCCAGAGGCAGCAGAGGGTTAAGAACCTGCATTCTTGAGCCAGACAGCCTGGCTTTGAATCCTGGCTCTGCCATTCCCTAGCTGCCAGACTCACGCAAGAACTTCAGTCAACTCAAAACAGCAGTACCTGCCACACGGAGCTGTTATGAGGGTTCAAGGACTCAAGAATTTGTATACAGGACGTAGAATAGGACCTGTTGTGCTCTAAGTGCTCGTAAATGTGTGCTCAATAAACTACTAGTGTATAACCTTCAGAGTGTTGCCTAGGAACTTGTATTTTTTTTTAAAGATTTTATTTTTCCTTCTTCTCTCCAAAGCTCCCCAGTACATAGCTGTATATATTCTAGTTGTGAGTCCTTCTAGTTGTGGTACATGGGACGCTGCCTCAGCATGGCCTGATGAGCGGTGCTAGGTCTGCTTTGAACCGCTGAAACCCTGGGCTGCCGAAGCAGAGCACACGAGCTTAACCACTCGGCCATGGGGCCGGCCCCCTTGGAACTTGTATTTTTTAAAAGCTCCTCAATGACTGATTAACAGGCAGATCTGGGAAACACTGGAAGCAGTCTCTCTCCTTCCTCTAAAGAGTTTCAGCCAAGCTGAGAACTCAGCTGTTTGCATGACACCTCCAGATCCTCCATGTGGGCCTTTGGATGGGTTCCTCTGGTCACAGTGGTGACATCAGCAAACGGGAGCTGGGCTTGCCACGGGGACTCTCACCAACCAGTGAAGCATGCGATGAATGAAACATACTTTGCAGAGATCCCAGTTAAAACTAATTACAAGCATGAGTCATGTAATAACCACAGCGATTCTTACTGCCAATGAACCTGTGCGTTAAGGCATTAAGCATTTTATCTGATATTGGGAAAGAACTGGGATATTTTAATGAGTGTAAGAAACTGATTCCAGCTCCCTTTGTTTTTCACTTTACCTGCAACGTAAAGATTGAACTCTGCCAACCTTCTAAAGGATGGCAAGGTCACGGTCCTTTTGTTTGCTCTCTTTCCACTTTCAGGCTGTGTAGAAACTTTAACCCCAGATCTGTATATGCGCTGGTTCCTATCACCATTTACAGGGACACAGTGATACTTCTGTATGAGAATGTCCTCTGTATTAGAATCATTTGTGTATTTAACTATGTCGCTTGGAGAAACTGATTGTTACAAAGGACCTAAAAGCTTATCCCAATTAACTCCAAATATAAGACTTCCATTTAACCAAATTGAAAGACTTTGACTTGATTAAACAGAAGGAATTCTAGATTTTTCCAAGTCCACAGATATGAGTAAAGGATTCTGATGATTTCTACAAAATGTTATGTGACCTTGCCCTAATTGCTGTGGCAAAGTCAGGTACATATGCCTTATCTTACACTAAGCCGTGTTAATAAGGGGAGTGTGGTATCTGGACATTTTTCTTATTTTGGGCAAATTGAGATAAACATTTCAAATTATCTAAAGAATTTGCCCCAAATGCAAACAGTGCTGGTCATTTGTTAATGAATGAGTAGTCCAGCAACCTCAGGATTCCATTCTCTGAGTTTCTTTTTTTTCCTTTTTCTCCCCAAAGCCCCCTGGTACATAGTTGTATATTCTTCGTTGTGGGTCCTTCTAGTTGTGGCATGTGAGACGCTGCCTCAGCGTGGTTTGATGAGCAGTGCCATGTCCGCGCCCAGGATTCGAACCAACGAAACACTGGGCCGCCTGCAGTGGAGCATGAGAACTTAACCAGTTGGCCACGGGGCCAGCCCCCTTTTTTTTTTTTTCCTTTTTCTTATTCTCTGAGTTTTTACACTCTATACATATTTTAAACTCGCGTGATTGTTTTGGTCCCAGCTCTCAGCAAAGTGGTACTTGAATCACTTAACCCCTCACTTTCCTCATTTGTAACAGAACAGATAGAAGTAAAGTATTTAGATCCCTTCTGGCTCGAAAACTTGGGTGATTCTCTGAGTAAATTTGTAAAATCAGTAACAATACTATTATTTACTTTTGGACTTTAATTTCATTGGTAAACTGAGGTAAACCTATCTCATAGTGATCTGAGAATTCATTGAGATAATAGGTGAAGACACTTCTAATGATGCTTGACGCATAGCAGATAGTCAATAAAAATTAGTTTCCCTTCTGGAATGTCAACCCACCAAAACCAGTCAAGCTGCCACGGACAGAATATCATCATCATCATTTCAAGAAACATCAAGTCCCTGTTATGCTCAGTATTAGCTATTCTCACTAACATCATATTAATTTGCAATCCACTGAGTTAATTCAAAGGTATATCCTCAAAATTACAATTGATCTCTGTCACACCTAGTGATACTCTCTCCCTTATAGAAACTCATTTTTTTAACTACTATATTGATTATACTATTCACTGCTCTTCCCAAAATGGAACCACAGCTTAAACTGGCAACTCTAGTCAGTCTAGATCTCAAATTTTATAAATCTTATAAATCATAAAAAATATTTCTAACAAACTCAATAGTAACATATATGACATAAATTACAAAATTTGATATTTGATAGGGACTGTAAAAATGTGAGACCTCATAGGTTCTTTTACTTCAGCTCGAGCCTATCAAAACACAGATTCCTAGGCCTCACCCCAGTTTCTGATTCAGTAGGTCTCCAGTGGGCTGGAGAATTTGCATTTTTAACACGTTCCGGGTGATGCTGATGTTGCTGGTCTGGAGACCACATGATAATAGCCACAGGGATGTATTAAAAACACAGACATCTGAGAGACTTGTGGCATGCAGGTAGGTGAAAGAGAAAAGTTATAAAACACAAGTGTGGGGCCAGCCTGGTGGCATAGTGGTTAAGCTCATTGCTCTACTTTGGTGGCCTGGGGTTCGTGGGTTCCGATCCTGGGTGTGGAGCTACACACTGCTCATCAAGCCATGCTGTGGTGGTATCCCACATAAAAAAAAATAGAAGAAGACTGGCACAGAGGTTAGCTCAGGGCCAATCTTCCTCACCAAAAATAAAATAAAATAAAAAGCCTAAAAAAAAAAAACACTAAAATGTGACAACAGAAAAGAAAGAACAAGGAAAAATGATACGACCAGAAACTTTGATTTCATCAAGGCAGCAGGAAGTATGCAAACATTGGCCAATCAGAAGGGACAGCCACTGGAGACCTGGTGCAGGTCCTGGAGCTCCTGGCTGGGCTGGAGGTGAGCCCTCCAGCTGCTGGAGAGGCAGCATGGCAGTCCGAGGTCTGGGGGGAGGGACTGGGACACTTGGGCTGCTCAGAGCAGCGCCCTTTACCAGTCAGTAGAGAATCACCTGAATACTTTAATAACCAGAATGTCCATCTGGGGGCGTACCGGTGGAAAATCAGCTCTCCAAGACAGGATTGGGAGGAGCCCAACAGGTGCCTGGGCACAGGGGAAAGTAACAGCGAATGTGGGATATCCAGAAGCTGCCTAGGGGGGAGTTTAGCTTGAACTTGGGAGTTGTTCCTAAGGAATAAGTTAGAAAAAGGCTTACTTCTGTTTCCTGAAGGTCTGAGAGAGAACGGAAAAAGCTCTAGCTGACCCAGGGTTTGAAGGAGAAGAGAAATAAAAATAAATGTGTGTCAGGTGGTAGCCTAAAGAGAACCTAGACTGGGCTCCACGACTCCCGCACATCCCGGAGTTTGGTGGTGTTTCTACCCTGATCTTACATATATTTGTAAAACAAACAAAGAAACCAAACAAACAAAAGCTTTACAACATGTCTTGCTCGATGCAATTTCATAGATGGTTCACTATAAAGAAGAGCAGCCATTTAGGAGGGTGGGATAGTTCTCCACAGGGTACGGTGTAAAGCAGTCTTCCCAAACTTCAACAGGTGTACACGTGTACGTATGGATCTCCTTAAAATGCACATTTTTGACTCAGGACGTCTAAGATTTTGCATTTCTAACACATTTTCAGATGGTATGGATGATATTGGTTCGGAACCACACTTTGAGAAGCTAGAGTAAAGCAGTGGTTTTCAACCTAAGGTGCAGATTAGAAACAACTGGGAAGCTTTTAAAAATCCTGATGCCCAGGCATTATTCCAGACTAATTAAATCAGGACCCAGGCATCAGTATATTTCAAAACTTCCCAGTGGTTCCCATGTTCAGCCAAGGTTGAGAACAACTGCTCTAAAGTGTACTGCTCTCCTTTGAAACCCTGGAACAGTTATCAAAGAAATATCCACAATGTGGAGAGCCTCCTAATGCGAGGATCTCTAGTACTTTACCATCAATCCTCATCATGTGTTAATACTAAGAATCTGAATATACAGTTTTAGCTATTAAGCTTTATGTATTACAATCCTTCTCTAACTTTGCTGAAATTCATTTAAATATGACACGATGTTTAATACATGTTAAAATTGTATTATAGATGCCTGTCCTTGCTCTGGAATGGTGAAAATGACTTTGGAAATCTTCCTTGATCTAGCTCAACAGAGCCACATAAAATAATGCAAAATAAGCTGGTGTTTTGCTAGTCCTAAAACAAGAGAGTGACATGCCCCCTTAGAAGGACTAACAAAAATCTGAGGATTAGAGTTGAACACCCAGATGACAAATTGTAAAACAATGGCCTCCACAATGAGGTGCGTTCATCCTATGGTGTAAACAAGATAACCAATTGGGGTATGGGAAGAAACAGAACTTCTATTATATTTTCAACCTTAAAAAAACAAGTTGCCTAGCGTCTTCATTTGGTCTGGGTGTCAGATGGTCATGTGCTAAATAAATACCGCGTGTGAGGTTTCCTGAGAGAGGAGCAGACGTTTCACTGTTGGAAGGCTGATGACGAGACCTCACTTACTTGGCTGCAGTCGCCTGCTGCTGGCCATAGATTGGATCATTCAAAAATCGTCAGTTTCTTGTTCACATCCGAACAAATCTCCAACTAGTGTAGTCAATAGAACAAATGTCCATAGTCATGAGGGTACAGAAGGACCCCACTGATTAGATTCTAGAGCGTTATAAAAGCTTTCAAGTTTAGGCGAAGAAAGGTAAAGCGCTTATGCAGTCATCTTTTCTGGTTTTTCAGAGCAAAGCAAATCTCGCAAAAAGTAATTAACGTTTGTGTTACTTTATTAGGATAAATTCGCCTAATTAAAATTACACGATGAATACAAATAGCTGAAGACAGACGGCATTAAGTACAGCTTTCATAACCTAATTTTTACCATTTGATATAAGCACAGGCGCACTTGTGAATATTTTTGTGAGACTGGGCATCAGATGGCGCTCACCCTTAACAAAACCCTGAGCAGTGACAGAGCATTTACAGGCATTTCGAAATCCAGCCCTGATGCCAAGCAATCGGCCGTTTCGGTCAAATCACTTTACTGAGTGTCGGTTTCCTCACCTGTAAAGTGGGAGTGGGAATGGACCAGATGGATTTCCAACTCAATTCGCCTTAGATTCTCTGACTAGAGTGGTGGCGTTGACTGGCTGCTGCTACCGACGGCTGAAATGGCAAGAAATTCGGAAGTCAGGTTGGGAAAGTGCGGCAGACATAGGAAAGCGTGCGGCTCTGGCTGGAAGGCAGGAGACCGCTTTCGGCGTTTCAGCCACTCACACTACGTGGGCGGCGGAGCCCAAAGTCCTTAACCACGTGGCGTCTCCATTTCCCTAGGGAGTCCCAACACGGGGTTACGTCCAGCAAAATCGATTTCCACAAAAAAAGCCCTGGTCCTACTAAACATGGATGCAAACACCGTGGAAACGCAGGACCACAGCACAAACTTAATTCTCGCCCAGGTTCCAAGCGCACGCACGGGAACAACTTCCGCCCAGCTGGACTCAGGTCCCTGAAGCGCGTCCCCGGAGGTCACGTGGGGCCGCGGAATTTCAGCCTCGCTGGTCTCCCCTGGGGACGCCAAGCGCCACGTCATGTAGGTTGTTCCATCCAAGCCAGGGTGGGAGCCTTCACTATCGCAAGAACGAGAAAAGCCAAACTGCATCCTGTGTGGTAATCTGAGGGAAATGAATATCGTTTCCTGAGTTTTGTCCTTTCTTCGCTGTGGTACAGTCGCTTTGAGGGACAGCCTCCCTAGGTTCCCTCTCGATACCCCTGCTCACCCCACCGCGGGATTCCAGTTGGTATCGCCCGAGCCCCGCCCCCGCCCCGCCGCGACCCAGCACGCAGCGGCCGGTCCCTCACGTGACCCAGCGCGCCCCCGCAGGAGGAGCGGAGTCTCGGAAGCCGCGCCGCGGCGGCCAGAGAGACGGCCGGAGCGTCGTGAGCCGCAGCTTCACTCGAGTCTCCGCGCCGAGGACGCGATGTCGAGGTACCCCTGCCCGCTTCTCCGGGCCGCCGCCTGCCTGGCCGCGCTGTGTGTGCTGACCGCAGCTCAGAACCCCACCACGACCCCGAACGTGACTGGGCCCTCGACTTTATTGCCCACCGTCCCGACAAGCCCGACGCCAGCCACGACCCACCCGCCGACCACCGCTCCAGTACCAGGTGGGCGCCGGCCCAGCAGGCTTCCTGCGCCCGCCCGCCCCGCCGAGCCGTCCCCCTTGCCCGCGGGGCGCGCCGCCGGGGCCGGGGCCGGGGCCGGGGTGGGCCGCGCTCGGGCAACATGGCGGCCCGTCCGAGTCCCGCCGGGGCCGGGCGCGGGGTGGCCGGTCTGGGAACGCCCTGGTGGGAAGGGGCGGCCGAGCCCTGGTGGCCCCTGGGCTGTTCCCGGTCCCACAGTGTCTCCCGCCGAGGTGCTTTTTCAAAGTGCCTCGTAATCCCCGGCGTGGCCGTGGGCTCGGCGGAGGGGACGTGGCTTCCTCCCGCGGTGGCGCTTGGGGGGGTTGATGATGGGGCGAGGCGACGCGCCGCCGAAGTTGGCGATGGACCGAACTCCCTCCGGATCCCTGGGCTCCGTCGTTGGTCCACCTGGGGCCCCTCCCCAGGGAGGCTTCTTCAGAAGTTGGGGGAAAGAGAAACTTAAAGACGTTAATGCTCAGACTTGAGTCTGAGAAAATAAGTCGCCTGATAGTTAATTACAAAGATTTTGCGCATGGGTATGGGATATACCTGAGGCTTGAGCATTTAATTAATGAAAAGTTTGCACTCTGTGCTGTGTGCAAAGAAAAGTACCCATTTGTTTACGCGGTGCTTCGCATATACTTCTTTTAGGATTTTAGGCTAAACTGGAAGAAAGGTGCTGGAACCTAGGAGGTAGACGGAGATAAAGTAACTGTGCTGGACCATATGTTTCATAGACTGGGAAGCTGGGATTGGAACCTCGGTCTGTCGATTTTCCAAAATCCGGTCAGAAACACACCTTTTGTTAAGCTGTGCACACGATTTGGAAACTGGTTGAGCCATACACGGAATCTTAGAGCAGAAATTGGCAATGCCATGACAATGCAAAAGAGGGGGAGATAAATTTGAGGTTGGAAGATGCAGAAATCCTGCATGGTTAAAATCTGCAGTCCAGTGTGATTGATTTTTCTAGTTAATGTTGGGTAAGGGATATCTGGCATCCTGACCGAGGAATTGCCCAAATCTAAGTGTTTTTACCTTGGCATCTTTTTCGGGCTGGTCATATTGTTTTACAGTGTCTTCCCTGGTTTTTGTGTTTTATAAGAGTTTAATAAAATATATAATAGGTGTAATGTTATTTGTTAGATTCAGAAAGATGTAATGGTAAAATTCAAAAATTTTTAAATCGGGAAAATAAATTGTAGTACAATAGGAAATTCTAACCACACTATTTTTAAGATGATAGAGCAGAATATGTTTTATCTCCTGCTTGTTTGGCAGTTTCCTCCCAGAATTGTAGTTGTGGATTTTTTCTTTAAAGAGAAGCTTGGAAATACCACGTTAATTGCCTTTGTGTAATTGAAATGAATGCAAAGGTGATGATTTGTGTTTTCTGTGATTAGTAGTTGGATCCGCTGCAGTCTGAAAGATAGCAACTTTGGTTCATGGTAAATAACATTCACCAGGCTACCCATTCATCTTCAAGCACAAAAGATTGTAAACTAGTATTTTCCATGTGTATACGAACCTCTGAAGAACTTCTACTTTGTGATCCCCTCCCTCACATATGTCCCTGTCTCTGATAAATACTAAAGTATTGAAATACAGTGCCTCTATGCAGAACCATTTTTTAGGCACAGAGGAAGTAAATGAGAATGTTTTTTGGAGGCATCCAGCTTCTGAGAAAACAGCGCAATTTTATAGTCTATTTGTTTTTCTAGGCATTGAATTGTAATTAGCTTTCCTTGAGGTCGTGTTTCTGGGCCATTTGCCTTAGAATTATTGACAAAGACCTTCCTAACTTGTTAAATTATATATACATGAATGCAGCCCCCTCCAGATGAGTTGTCTCTTACCTTCCAGTCGTGGAGGACCCTGGAAAAAGTGGGTGATTTATGAATTACGAATCTCTGGTATTTCAGAATGGGCATCATCGGAGCTTGAGTTCAACCTGTAATAAATCTTTATTACTATTAAAAATTCCAGTGTCTCATCTGACATTTTGGGGCAGCTATTTCCCAATATGTCCTGTTGGCCTTACAGTGTTGTTTCCACTATTTTTATTTTTTTAAGGATGCTTTAAAATGCCTCAAGAAACCCTGAGTGTCCGTGAAATAGTTGCTGTAAGAAAAAGAATTGTTTAGGTACCATGAAGTACTGAATGTTCCCACGAGCTTGTCGTCTCCCCCCCTTCTCTTGAGTTGACTTCTGGCTTCATAACTCATTTATAATAATGGAGATTTCTTAGTAAGCCAGTTTATAAAGTATTTTTGTGTGTGTGGTTAAAAAGAAACCCCACATAACATGAGATCTACCCTCTTGACAACTTTTCAAGTGTATGGTACAGTATTAACTATAAGCACAATGTTGTATAGAAGATCTCTAGAACTGTTCCTCTTATGTTAAACTTCATACCCATTGAACAGGAAATCTCCATTTTCCCTCCCCCCATCCCCTGGCAACCGGTTCTATTTTCTGCTGCGGAGTTTGACTATTTTAGATACTTTGTATGGGAGAATCATGCAGTATTTGTGGTTCTGCGACTTGCTAATTTCACGTAGCATAGTGTCCTAAAGGTTCATCCATATTGTAGCATATGGCAAGATTTCCTTTTTTCATGTCTGAACGATATTCCATTATATGTGTATAACACATTTTCTTTACCCATTCATCTGTCGATGGGCTATAAAGTTTTAGCATTTCTCTGAATTATTAATTCTGGTGCTGTATGTAGTGCTTACTATTGTTTAAAAAAGATATGTAGTGTGAACTCAAAATGAAATACCAATTAATTAATTGATTTCATACACCCTCCCCACAGAAACCTGTGAAAGCCGAAACAGCTGTGTTTCCTGTTTTGATACTAGCATTAGTAATGCGACCTGCTTTTGGATAGAATGTAAAGAAGGTAAGAAACTTTGGAATTGCTTTAATTTTGAGAATGCAGAACTGTTCTAACATTTTAAAATATACTACAGAATATTCTTGAACATTTGAAAATTATGTGAAACAGGATATTGTGCACTATTTTGCAGATCAAATACTTTTTCTTTCAAGTGCCAGTTCCTTAACACTCCTCCTAAAATCCCTTGTCTCCCGTTCTCCCCTTTAATTAATTCCTTAGACTTGATAATTAAGGCTCAATAGCTTTTAAAGGAAGAGAGATTTTAGACCTTTGTAGGAATAAGAGAGCACTACTACACTGAAATTAGCTGTGAAAGAAAGTTGTGCAATTTTCCCCTGAAAACTCTTCGCGGAAAAATGTTTGAGGCATTTATCATCTGTAGATATCCTGCTAGGTGAGCTACAAGGAGACCTTCTGACACTTTGTTGGATGCTTAGATATGGGGGAAGAATAAGGTGGGAAGAGCATTTTCCTGTGCTTTTGTTAAATTCTAAAGTTACGTTTAATTTGATTGAGGGATAAAGAGCTAGATGGAGATGCTTTGAAATGCCATCAGGTTCTTGGTAGAACCATGGGATTGCCGCATAAATTAGTCCATTTTCTTCATGTAAGATAGTTGCATTTTTTTCTTAGCAGTAAAAACAGTCTGTCAGGTTTTTTTAATATGTATGAAGAAGAAGCCAAAGCTACGTGTTAATTTCTTTATTCTTAATTGAAAAATTTAAGAGTTCTGAAAATTTTATCACTACATAATAAAATTTAAAAACCTCTTTTAAAGTTAAGACATTAGCTTAATTTGGGGTTAACTTTTCCGTTGTGTAAGTCACATTTTTTAGGTCATTAAATGGAACTTGAGTGCACCCCTCTCCCCACGTCTGGCAGTATATGGGAGTTGGGCAGGTTTGGGAGATTGAATGCTGGACTGTGGGATGTGTTGGGTAAGGCTCTCCCTTACTCATCCTACCAGTCTGCCCATCCAGGAAGCTGTTTTAGAAAGGGTAGAAGACTCCAGCAGAGATCTGGAACAGAGGTCCTGCTGCTGCTGACGGGGCACCTCCCCTGTTTACTAAGCTTTTATTGCATCCTGACTACTACTCCCTCCTGACTCAGCCCTCTTTTGTGTATTCTAGCAGCCTTCCTTGTACAGTAGCCATACCACAATTCTGAGATCTAGGCGTTTCAGATTTATCTGTTTGATATAGTCACGTGGATTTTAAAAGGAAAACGTTTGGAGCGATCCTGTGTAATATTTCTAAAACAATGGGGTAAAGAGAATAAGTGTTTTGTTGGTCTGTGGACTTCTAAAGTGTTTGTGCCTGAGTTTGATTTTTGGAAGCAATGTGGAGCTTAGTAACAAAGTTGAAGATAATACGAGAGAGTGATTGGTGTTGTCCTTTTCTCACCCCCCCATAGCAAACAAAAGCTACTGTTCAAATTTGACAGTTAGTGAATGCGAGGTGGTGAACCGCACAGAATTCTGTTCCGGTGAGTATTCACATGGGCTGCTGGCACAAGTGGCCACAGAGAGGTGAGGACAGTCATTGCCTGAGGAAGCATTTGGTTTGAGGCACTTTCATAATTCTAATCTTGTTAGAAATTTGGGTATGAATAGCATATTCATATTGATTGCTAA